CTCCCTCATTCCTGCATGCCTCTGCTAAGGAGGCCACTGGCTAATAATACACTGGCCAGGAATTTGTGCAGAGGAGGACAGGGCCTCCCCGGGGCCAGGGAATAGTTGGCGTTTGACTAGGAAATGCTAAGCCTGGTTAATGATAAACTCACCTCTCCTGTTTTTATTCTCTTGACTGAACATCCAATCTCAAAGTCTTTAGCAGCTATTAACTGGTTTTAAATTTATCATTGCTGTTATTAGGGATGCTTTTTGTATTTGGAAGGGATACCTGATGTCACTGACTTCTACTTAGAGTATGAGGAAGAAAACATCGCTTAATTGAAGTCCAACAACCTGGTTCTAGCCCTGCCTCTACCTTAACTCACTGCACAGTTATGCCAAGGTCACTGCTCCTCTCTGGGGCATGGTTTGACCATCTGTAATATAAACAGGAGGCCCAAAGATCAATGAGCTCCCTCCTAGCCCAACGGTCTATGAATCCATGGTTCTGAAGGGTGATTCGGGGAGAGATGCAAGTAGCAGGTGTGTACATATTCTTCTAGAAAGGGAGGAGAGACACACAGCTAACACTGGCGAGGGGATGGACAGAGCAGCAAGCCAGGTGATACTTTCTTTGCTGAACTGGGAGAGAAGTTGAGTGGTGGCTCTGGTGGATGGCAGCTGCTTGGATGCCCCTTCCCTCACTTCTTTTGGTAAAAAATTTGACTTTCCTTTAGGAAACCACCCCTCCTCTACTCTCAGCCCAGAGGCTCCAGGTTTGGCCCATCAAAGTGAGGTATCTTCCCTGGCTACAGTTCAAGGATGGCATATACCCCAAGCCAGGCTAAAAAGAGCCTACTCTTGGATTTCCTGCTGGAGCTAGTGGAAAACAGCCTCTCTCTCTCTGCTAGGGTTGCTAAGTTGGTTGGATGTAAGCCTGGTACCTCTTTATCACAACCTCAAGAGAGCCTGTCCAATACTGAGACTAAGACTAAAGCCAACTCTAAGAACACAGAACCAGGATATAAGCAAGGCAAATCCCAGGTGATGCTGCATACCTGGATCCAGCAGGACCTGAAGCCTCTGGATTTCTCAGTTATCAGAATTAATCTTTCTGTTTGTTTGTTTTCTGTTTAATCTTTTGGTTTAAATCAATTTGAGCTGTGTTTCTGTCGTTTACAACCAATGAACTCAGGAGCTAAGCACTCCAATCAGGAAGTATAGCCTAGACTCCCAAATGCGGCCCCACGTTACAGCTGGGAGGGACTCCAGATCAAAGGGTCCATGCCATTGCTGTTTCTCCCAGGCAGGTATGCTATCTGCCACGTGTGCTCTGCTCCTATACTAGACCACAGATGCTCACCTAGAATAGAAGGGCACCCTGAAAACAGAGCTAATCCAGGTCCTACAGGGAGCTGTCTGCCTTGTTTTCTATAATGGGGGGTTAATAGTACCTGCCTGTCCTAGGCAATAATCCTTCAAATGGTGAGTTTCAGAGGATGGCTTCCACTCAGTCAGAGCAACTGACTCCCTGGCTTTGGGTGGGAACATGAGACTCCGGTCACTCCAACTTCAGTATCCCCTGCCCTGGCCTTAGTGATTGGGTCAAGAATGGTCACATGACCCAAGGCAGACCAATCCAAAACCCACCCTGGGATTTTTTAACTTGAGCAGGCAGAGAAGAATTTCCCCCGTGCTGGGTGACATGCATGTAAGAATGAGTATCTGGTGTTGCTGGGGGCCAGGAGAAGATCTGGTATGAAAGAATGAAGCTAACACCCTGGGATGAGCAGAGATTCAAGGCTGAGGGCCATGAGCCTGGCAGCTCTGGGGCCCTGGTTCCAGCTGGCACCAGTTCTACCTTACCTTCCAGTTTGTGAGCCAAGAAACAGTCCTCCCTCTCTCCTCCCTTTAAAGCAAGTTTCAAATGGGTTTCTGTCCCTTTCAACCAAATGAACCAAAGATATACTGTTTTCTTCTAAACCAAGGGAAAAACAAAGATCCAAGGTCTGAGACCCCTTCGTTACCACTGTCTACCAAGGAAAGGGCTCTGATATCAAGGCACAGAAGTGAATGAGCAAGAGCATCGGGCTTATTCCAATCTTGATTACAATCCTCTCCAGCTTTATGAGCTTTTTGCACAAGCAACAACCACTCTGAGCCTCGGTATCCTCACCTGAAAAAAGGGGATAATGATGTTCTTTTCCCCATAGGGTTGTAAAGGTGACGTGAGTGCCTGGCATAGAGTCCTTGCTCCATAACTAGTAGCTGTTACTATGACTTCCTTCTCCCTAAGCTTTTCTTCACTGTTCCACCGGAATCTCAGGTCAGAGGGGGACAAAATTGTTTCTAGGGGCCCTGGATCTTGCTGCAAAGCCTGTGTGTAGCTTTTGGCTCTAGAAGGTTGGGAAGCTCTGGCCTCTGCTGGGGAGGTTTGGAGAAAGAAGAGCTCAGCCCTGGTTTGGGGCCAAAGGACAAGCTGCTCAGGACCACACAGTCATGGGAACGGTGGCCCAGCCAGGGGGAGGCTGGCTGTGTGGGAGCCCAACCCACAGCCAGGGCCTCAAAGAGCCAGACGTTCCCAGCAGGCAGAGAGACTTCCCACTTGCACAGAAGAACCATCATTTATCCATCTCATTCATTCAGCAAAAGGCAGTGTACCAGGCACTGGGCAGGGCTTTGCAGGGCTCAGGGTCAGTTAACCGACACCAGAATGAGTAAGACCCAGGCTTTGTCCTCAAACAGCTAAAAGTAACAGCTGCAATGTGTGGAGCTAAGTGATGAGCTTCATAGAGCGGGTCTCTCAGCCGCACACCCCCACTTCGTTCCCCACGGTGACCTCTCTTCTGGACTGTGGCAGTCTGGTGGTCCCTGAGTCATCACCTGGGTGTGAGGCAGCCTCCCCACTGGTCCCTTCTTCCAAGCATCCTGGCTACAACCCTTCCTACCTACTATTGAAATCACAACTGTCCCAAAGCTCCAATCAAGTCCCTCCCTGCTCAAAAGTCTTCAATAGCTCCTCATTTCCTGGGGACCAAATCCAGGTGCCTCAGCCAGGCATTTAAGACTCTTCAAGAGACAGCCCCACCACACTTGTAGGTTATCCTCCAATCCATCCTTTCCTTCAAATAGCTTACATACCCGTCGAACTGAACTACGCCCTGTACCTTAGACAGCCCAGAACTTTCTCACCTCCACGCCTTTGCCCAGCCATTTCTTCTTCCTGACTATCTCTGTGCCTCCAATTTTTTCCTGTCCTAAGGCTCCAATTCAAATGCCACTTCCTTAAGGGGGCATCCTCACTGTCCTTATTTTTTAAAATGTCTCCCTAAATGGACTCCCCAGACACTTTCCTTTGTGCCAGTTACACTGGAACCTGGCTGCCTGGGGAGGTCGAATCACAGAGTGTTGTAGTTTGCCTTGTAAAGTGTGAGAAGCCACCGCCGCTGTTTCTCTGTCTGGTGGACATAAGAAGTCACCCTGGAGCAGGACTTCACTGCTTTTCCCTGAAACCTTGGTGGCCCCTACTTGGAAATGCAAATGTAAAGGGAGCAGCCCTTCCCCGCCTCTGCCCTACAAGAATGGTGTTAGGGAACCTTTGGAGGGGCTGACAGAGGCCTACACAGAAGTGATCCTCTCCCTACACTGAAGTGATCTCAGAAAAACATGACGGACAAATTTGTCCTGAGAGGACAGGAACCTGGTCCCTCCCCATTTCCTCCTAGGGCTGACATTATTGGAACCCCTTGGATGGAGTGGATGTTTCCCAGAGAGTTGCTGGCGCAAACAGAGACCAAAGCTCCCGGAGGACCTCACCATGATTCAGGGTTGGGGGTGGGCTGGAGGTGTCTGGACTCGTGAACTGGCTTGACACCCAGAAGTCCATGCCAAACCCATGGCTTGGGCTGGAAGCCTCTGGGCCCCAACACCCCCAAGCAGGGTGGGGAGGCTCTGGGAACGATGGCTGAGTAATGGCGAAAAGCAGAAATCTCTGGAACCTACGCGTGGGATCCTGCACGGCAGCCCCATGGTTACTGTGGTCCAGGACGTGCTGGAGTGGGCAGCGCCAACTCCCATCTGTGCTGCTATGGTAACAGGGCAGAAACTGGGGCGAGCTACTGGGTAAGTGGGGCCCACGTCTCCGTCTCTCTCTACCTGGCATTTGGAAGTAGAACTTAAGCCTGGAGCAGCCGCAGGGTCCTGAGACAATGTGGATGTGAGGCAGGCAGAGGAGCTACCCTCGAGATCTTACTAAAGGAGGCACTTGGGTGCTTGGGCGGTCAGTTGGGGAAAGAAGAAATATAACCACAGTTCCACCCCGGAACAGTGAAGCAGTCACACCATCGCATACTCGGCACAGCCTGCCTTGTTTTAAATTACAGTTAGGGCTCTACCAGTACACAATAAAGTCTTTCAGTCTTTATCTCAATTTCCCCTATAATATTTTGCACTGCAGAAGGCACACAATACATTTTTGTTGGAAGGAGGGAAGGAAAGAGGGAAAGAAGGAGGGAGGGACTGTAGGTCTAGGAGAGTACAGAGGAGCGACTTAGAGCTTGCAGCTGGACTAATAAGGGCAGGCTTCCTGGCAGAGGTAACCTGTGAGGGGCCTTGAAGGAGGAGTACCCTGAGAGGATCTCTGGAGCGTAAGCGTTCCTGGAAACTGTCCTTTACAGTTCTAGGTCCCTGCAGCATGTCAGGGGCTAAGGTTATAGCAGGTGCTATCCCCATGTCCTCACCCTCTTTTCTTGTCCTCAGCCTCCCAGCAATTCTATGATTTGGGGATTCATTTTTTTTTTGGAAAAGAATACAGATATATCTTACTTTTGCAAGTTTTACAAAATATACTGAAAACATACCCCCAGGTGAGTGCATTGCTGGGGCCCCTCTCAGGACCCCGAGGCTTAAGCCTCATTAGCTTCCAGTAGCAGGGCTCTGCCTGCAGGAGCCCTCCCCCTCCGCCTGGGCTGGAGGGGGAGGGCAGAGGCTGTTAAAGGCTTTACAAGAGTCAAGCTGACCTGAAATGCAAAGGCATCCTTGACCAGAGCCTCCCCAGACAAGAAGCTGGACCTGTAGCTCAGGAAGATCTGAAAGGAGAAAACAAAACATGGAGGCTGCAGGACTAGTCCGCCCAGGTCGTGGGCTTTACAGGGGCCAGGGCACCATGTGTGTCATTAAAGCCACACTCATGGGCGCCTGCTCCTTCCAAGCACGTCCTCCAGAAGAGACACATTTTCAATAAATTGTAAAGAAATACTCAGAGATGAGAGTTGTTAGGACAAGAACGATGAAGAAGAGACAAAGGAGGAAGCAAACAGTGAGCTGCCTGGAGAAGGCTGTCAAAGGTGGTGCCCGCTTTGTCTGCTCACTCCCCTCCCCACTGATGTCACCATCCCGGGCTCCTGGCCTTGGTGTTGCAATCTGGCTATGCTTCTACAAGAGACCTGTATTTAGGACCAGAACAAGCACTGTGACTGCAGGGCCAAGTCACTTCAGTTGTCCAGGCCTCAGTGCTCTCATCTATAAAATGAGGGCTGTGCCCAGAGCAGCCACTGTCTTTTCCTGCACGACACCCATGCAGATACCCTTGGCGTGCCCCTCCTTCTCCCTGTAGAGAGCACATGGAAATTTGAGATGGTGAGAGAGGGGTGAGTATAGGATCAACCTTGTGTCCTTGATAATTTATATTTAAAAAAGTAAATCATGGGACTTCCCTGGTGGTCCAGTGGGTAAGATTCCACGCTCCCAATGCAGGGGACCCGGGTTCGATCCCTGGTCAGGAAACTAGATCCCACATGCACTAAGAGTCTGCATGCCGCAACTAAGAGTCTGCATGCTGCAACTAAGAAGTCTGCATGCCATAACTAAAGATGCTGCATGCTGCAGCTAAGACCCTGCACAACCTAAATAAATAAATAAAAGATAAATAAATATGAAACATACTTATAAAGAAAAAAGTAAACCATAATTGCCCAATGATGTGAAGTAACTTAATGACACTCAAAAATGGTTAAAATGAAAACAAAAAGGTTAAAATGGTAAATTTTCTGTTACGTGCACTCATCACAATAAAAAAATGGAATTAAAAAAGTATAACTTCAACAAAATGATTTTTTTTTTTTTTTTTTTTTTTTTTTGGCGGTACGCGGGGCTCTCACTGCTGTGGCCTCTCCCGTTGTGGAGCACAGGCTCCGGACGCGCAGGCCCAGCCACTCCACGGCATGTGGGATCTTCCCGGACCGGGTCACGAACCTGCATCCCCTGCATCGACAGGCGGACTCTCAACCACTGCGCCACCAGGGAAGCCCAAAATGAATATTATTTTTAAACACACATATACACATACAAAGTAAATCATTTGCAATTTTTAAAGCACTTTTGACTATTATAAGTTCCTTTTGTTATGACCACTGAGGGCCACATGCCCTGTGGGCTTTCCCACAAGGAACCTACCTGTTTTGAGATTCTCTTCCACATCAGACCCAGCCTCTGAAAGGACTGCTCTGTCTGGGCAGGTGGCACCAGGCCTGAGAGAAGTAGCAGCTGCAATGCTCAGCCCCCAGCTGCCCAGCTGGTCTGGGGCCCCATACACACCCACCATCCTGGTCACGGTCCCTCTCTATGTCCTCACAGCCCACCTCCCTCCAGCAGAGAGGCTTCTCCTCCATTCCCTGGAAACCCAACATGCCCTGGGCAACCGCACCCCATGTACACACCTGGATCTGGTCGCCCAGCCACTGAAATGCAATAAATCCTGGTTCTGTTCTGATGACGAAGAGTCCAAGTGCAAACTGTAGTACAAGACCCCAGGACACAGCCTGCCAGGACACCTGCCACCCAATAGAAAGGTCCTGGTGAGTTCAGCTCCTCGGGAGATCCACAGGGAACAGTTGGGTGAGGGCAGAGGGCACAGCACTGCTGAGGGGCTATGGGAGATTTGGCCAGTCTGTAGGATGAGGGCTGGACCCAGCCAGAGCTCTGGGCCAGTTGCCAATGGTTACATTCCCCATGAAGTTCAGAATAGGCCACACTTGGCAGCAATGCGCCTGGGAAGTGGGCAGGGGTAGAGCAAGATCTAACCAAGGACCAGCCTGGAGTGTGTCATGGCACTTGGTCCTGGGTCATCACGGGGTAGGTGGAGCTGGAGTTGTGGCATCAGTGTCCGGCTTCCATGTAACTTTTGCCTGTCTGGATCCTCCCCCATCCCTCCTATATAGTCAGGGCTCCCAGCCACTCTGACCCCACTCTCTCTCCCTCAGTGCACTCTCCCCACCCCCACAGAAGGGAGCTGGACTCCTAAGGGCTGCTGCTACCTCTCAGCATTTAATGACTCCTTAGCAGTGATCCCTACACCCAGGTGTGCATCAGGATCTCTGGGAGGCTTGGCTGGAGTCTGGGGGAAGGTGTTAACCGCACTGTGAAATGGTGGCGGGGGGGACCTGATATCAGAGAGAGAAGGGGCTGCAGCCCAGTCTGGACCTGACGGCTAAGCACTGCGCGGTGATGCTTGGAGAAGGCAAAGAGGAGGCTGATGAACATGCAGATTCCTCCGGACACCAGCTGCTCAGGCCGCTGAGAGGTGTCCAGAACCAGCCATAGGATCAGGGCCAGGAAAGCAGCAAGGGCTAGAAAGGGGTCCCTGCAGGAGAGGGGCAGAAAGTCATCACTGTCAGCATCTCCTCACCCCCACACAACGGCACCCAGGGCCCCAGAGAAAGGGTACTCAGGGCTGGTGAGGGGAGAGAGAGAACGCTGTGTAACCTCAGACAGGCCACACAGCCTCTCTGAGTCTAGTTTCCTCATTGGGTAAACAAAGCCAAAGACACCCCATTTCTCAAGGTTGCTGAGAGGACTAAATCAGAGGATGTGTGTATTCAGCTTAGCATGGTGCCAAGCACATGGCTCCATCAAGAGGCAGGAATTCTCAAAGCTGCAATGATGCTCAGCTCAGCCCAGCCTCTGACCTTGCCAGGGTGAGGTGGGGCCTGTGTGGGCTAGAACTCAGCACCATGGACCATGGGCTCTGCTCCCCCAAAGCCCAGAAGCAGCAGTGTCAGTCTGGAATGCAGAGTTGAGCACCTGAGACCTAGGGCTGGATGCAACTTTTACAGCAACACCTCCCTCCCTGGGGCTGGGATTTGCTTGTCCAGGAGGCAGCCTGAAATGTTCAAGAGCCCAGGTCTGGGTACTGGGTGTTCAAGGTCTAGCCCCGACCCAGTCTTCAACTCACTGGGTACTATAACCACAGATAAGGTTCACTGAGCACCTATTATGTGCCAGGAACTATGCTGGGTGCTGAGAGACTTCCAGTAACTGTCCTCATCTTAGAGATGAAGAAACAGAGGCCCAGGAAGTTAAATGACTTGCCCACAGCTGCCCATCTAGAAAGTAGCAAAGCTGAGATCGTAGCCCAGGCACTCTGGCAGCAAATCTATTCCCTTAACTAGTTCTGTACACGGTCACCAGCCGGTAAGAGGAGGACCCAGGACCTGAAATCCATCAGGCTAACCACAGAGTTGACTGTTTGTTTTTGGTGTGTTTCCCAAACTCCTATCATCCCAGTTCCATTGGCACGATTTCTGCCCTGTCTCTGTGCCACCTGTACTATTTTCCTTGAAGTTAACTCATTTTGTAAAAACTGAAATGCATGTTTGGGGTTTTATTTCTTTTTGGAAGGGGGTTGTTTTTAATAGCTTTATTAGAGATATGATTTTTTTAACTGTTTATTTTATATTGGCATATAGCCGATTAACAATGTTGTGATAGATTCAGGTGCACAGCAGAGCGACTCAGCCATACATATACATGTATCCTTTCTCCCCCAGACTCCCCTTCCATCCAGGCTGCCACATAACATTGAGCAGAGTTCCCTGTGCTCTGCAGTAGGTCCTTGTTGGTTATCCTTTTTAAATATAGCAGTGTGTACATGTCGATCCCAAACTCCCTAACTATCCCTTCCCTCCACCCTTCCCCGCCTGGTATTAGAGGTATGATTGACATAATAAATAGAACATGTTGAAAGTGTATAATTTGATAGTTTCGACATATGTATACACCATGAAACCATCAGCACTATCACAGTGAGCGTATTATATCCATCACCCTCAAAAGCTTCTTCATACTCGTTTGTAATTCCTTCCCTCATCCGCAGGCAGCAAATGATCTGTTTTCTGTCACTAGATGAGTTTTCAATTTCTAGGATTTCATAGGAATGGAATCATACAGTACATACTTTTTTTGTCTGACTTCTTTCACTTAGCGTAATTATTTTATTTTGAGATTCATCCACGTTTTTGCATGCATTCATTTCTTTGTATTGCTGAGTAGTATTCCATTGTGTGGATATACCACAGTTGGCTTATACATTCACCTGTTGATGAACATTTAGGTTGTTTCCAGTTTGGGGCTATTGCAGATAAAGCTGCTATGAACATTCGTGTGCAAGTCTTTATGTGGACGTACACTTTCTTTTCTCTTGGGTAAATACTATAAGTGGAATGGGTGACTCATATGGTAGATCTAACTTTTTAGGAGACTGCCAAACTGTTTTCCAAAGTCATTGTACATTTTTCCATTCCCACCAGCAGTATGTAAACGTTCCAGTTCCTCCACATCTTTGCCAACATGGTTGGTATGGTTAATCATTTGAATTCCAGTCATTCTAGCAGACATATAGCAGTATCTCTTTGTGGTTTTAATTTGCATTTCCCTAATGACTAATGATGTTGAGCATTTTTCCATGTGTTTATTTGCCACTTATATATCTTCTTTAACTAAACATCTGTTAAAATATTGAGCCCACCCTTAAACCGGGTTTTCTTATTATTGAGTTTTGAGAGTTCTTAATACATTCTGGATGCAAGTCCTTTGTCAGGTATATGACTTTCAAAGCTTTTCTCCTAATCATAGCTTATGTTTTTATTCTCTTAACCAAGTCTTTTTGAAGAGCAAAAGTCCTATATTCTGATGAAGTTTAATTTATCATTTAAAAAATGGATTGTGATTTTGGTTCTGTATCTAAAAAGTTTACTTAACTCAAGGTCACAAAGATTTTCTCCTACGTTTTCTTATAGTAGTTTTATAATTTCAGTCTTTACATTTAGGTTTATGATCTATTTTCAGTTAATTTTTTAATATAATTTGAGGCATGGATCAAAGTTCCTTTGTTTCTCTCTCCTCCTCCTATTCTTCTCCTCCTTCTTATTCTACATATGGATATCCTATTGTTCTAGAAGAATTTGTTGAGATGATTATTATTTCTTCACTGAATTGTCTTAGCACCCCTGTCAAAAACCAATTGGTTATATATATGTAGGTCTATTTCTGGACTCTCTATTCTATTCCATTGATCTATTTGTCTGTCTTGATGCCAATACCACATTGTCTTGATTACTGTAGCTTTATAAGTCTTAAAGACAGGTAGTGTAAATTCATCAACTTTGTTCATCTTTTTCAAAGTCGTCTTGGCTATTCTAGGTTCTTCGCATTTCCATATGAATTCTAGAATCATGTTTTGATTCCTATCCCAAAAGCCTGCTACAATTTTGATTGAATACTCTTAGAATCTATAGATTAATTTGAGGAGAATTGATATATTAAAAATATTGACTCTTTCAATCCATGAACTTGGTATTTTGCTCCATTTATTTGTCTTTAATTTCTCTCAGCAATGTTTTGTAGTTTTCCATGAACAGGTTTGCAGGTCTTTTGTCAGATTTATCCTTAAGTATTACATATGTTTTATGCTATTCTAAATAACATTTATAATTTTAATTTATGATTGTTTGTTGTTAGTATATAGAAATACTTTTGTTTTTTGTATGTTGAGCTTGTATCCTTCAAACTTGCTAAACTCACTTATTAGTTATACTAGTTTTTTTGTAGATTCCATAGGATTTTCTATGTAGACAATCCTGTTGTCTGTGAATAAAGACAGCTTTACTTCTTCCTTTCTAATCTACGTGCCTTTTATTTCTTTTTCCTACCCGACTGCACAAGCTAGAACCTCCAGTACAATGCTGAATAAAAGTGGTGAGAATGGACATTCCTACCTTGTTCTTGATTTCAGTGGGTAAGCACTCAGTCTTTCCCAATTAAGTATGAGGTTAGCTGTAGATTTTTGGTAGCTGGTCTTTATCAGATTGGGGACGTTCCCTTCTATTCCTAGCTTGCTCAGAATTTTTATCAGAAACGGGGGTGGAATTTTGTCAAATGCTTTCTCTGATTATGATGTGCTTTGGTGTGGTTTTCTTCATGTTTCTTGTGCTGTAGGTTTGTAGAGTTTCTTGGATGTCTGGGTTTATAATTTTCATCAGATTTGGAATTTCTTGGATATAATTTCTTCAAGTATTTTTTCTTCCCTCCTTCTCCTTTGGAGATTTCAATTACTTGTCTGTTTGCCTACTTAATGTGCCATGGTTAACTGATGCTCTGTTTGACTCTTTCAAGTTTTTAAAAAATTTGTTAGGTAGAGCCTAGGCAGGGTTTATTCTGTGGTTAATTTTCCCCTATTACTGACCCAAGATCTTTCTTAGTACTCTAAACAATATCTGGTGAATCATGAGCTTTTCCACTCTGACTTTTGAGAGCAAACACTATTCCTGACCCTGTGTGATCTCTGGGCACTGTTCTCTAATCCTTTTCAGTGGTTCTTTTCTAGGCCTTGCATAGTTTCCTCATACGCATTCACTGATCAGAACTCAGTTGAATACTGGAGGAGAGCCCTCTGCAGATCCCGGGAGCAGATCTCTCCCCTCTGGTACACTGCATTGTGAACTCTAGCCACCTTGGCTTTCCTGAAGTCCAAGCTCTGTCTTTTCAACTCAGGAAATCTACTGGCCCCACCTTAATGCCCCTTTCCTGCACTGTGGCCTGGAAACCCCCTCAATGCAGTAAGTTGGGGCGCTCATAGAGCTCATTTCATTTGTTTCCTATTTCTCAAGGATCACTGTCCATTGTTGCCTGATGCCCAGTTTCTTAAGAGCCATATACTATTTGTTCTGGTTTTTTAGTTGCTTCAAGCGAGAGGATAAACCTGGTCTCTGTTACTCCATCTTGACCTGATTTTGGAAGCCGAAATCAAATGCATGTATTTTAAAAACAGTTTATTGAGACAAAATTCACATACTATACAATTTTCCCATTTAAAGAGTATGGTTCAGGGCTTCCCTGGTGGCGCAGTGGTTAAGAATCTGCCTGCCAATGCAGGGGACACGGGTTTGAGCCCTGGTCCAGGAAGATCCCACAGGCCGCGGAGCAACTAAGCCTGTGTGCCACAGCTACTGAGCCTGCGCTCTAGAGCCCACAAGCCACAACTACTGAAGCCCGCGTGCCACAACTACTGAAGCCCATGCACCTAGAGCCCATGCTCTGCAACAAGAGAAGCCACTGCAATGAGAAGCCTGAACACCGCAACGAAGAGTAGCCCCTGCTCGCTGCAACTAGAGAGAAAGCCTGGGTGCAGCAACAAAGACCCAACGCAGCCAAAAATGAAAATTAATTAATTAATTAAAAAAAAAAGAGTATGGTTCAATGGTTTTTAGTATATTTACAGGGTTGTACAACCGTCACTGCAATCAACTTTAGAACATTTTCATCAGTCCAAAGAGAAACCCCACACCTCTACTCATCACCCCCATCTTCCCATCCCCCTCCAGCCCTAGTCAGTCACTAATCGGCACTTCCCTGGCGGTGCAGTGGTTAAGACTCCGAGCTCCCAATGTGGGGGACCCGGGTTCAATCCCTGGTCAGGGAACTAGATCCCACATGCATGAGCAACTAAGAGTTCATATGCCACAACTAAGGAGCCCATGAGCCGCAACTAAGGAGCACACCTCCCGCAACTAAGACTCGGCACAACCAAATAAATAAATAAATATTTTTAAAAAATCACTACTCTACTCTCTGTCTCTATAGATTTTCCTATTCTGGACATTTCATATAAATGGAATCCTACAGTATATGGTTCTTTGTGACTGGTGTCTTTTACTTAGCATAATGTTTTCAAGCTTTGTCATTATTGTAGCATTTATCAGTACTACCTTCTTTTTATGGCCAAATAATATTCCATTATATGTATAGACACAATTTATTCAGCCATTTAATGGTTGATGGGCATTTGGGTTGTTTCCACTTTGGCTATTATGAATAATGATGCTATGAACACTTGCATATAAGTTTTTGGATATATGTTTTCATTTCTCTTAGGTATATACCTAAGAGTGGAAATACTGGGTATGGTAACTCCATGTATAATATTTTGAGGAACTGACATTGTTTTCTATTGTAGCTGCATCATCTTACATTTCTTGTAGGAGTGTTATGAGGGTTTCAAATTTTTTCGCATCTTTGCCAACTCTTTCTATCATTTATCTTTTTTGTTATAGCCATCCTGGTAGATGGGAAGTGGTATCTTGCTGTGATTTTTTTTTTTTTGGTATATAATTTGCAAATATTTTCTCCCATTCTGTGGGTTGTCTTTTCACTTTGTTGATGGTGTCCTCTGAATCAAAAAATTTTAGTTTTTATACAGTCTAGTTTATCTGCATGTATTTTTCTTTTTTTCCTTGGCCATGCCACGCAGCTTGTGGGATCTCAGTTCCCCAACTGGGGACTGAACCTGGGGCCATGGTGGTGAAAGTGCCAAATCCTAACCACTAGACCACCAGGGAACTCCCTACCTGCATATATTTTTTTAAAGGAAACTTTATAACAATACCTCAAATGGAAAACCAGTATCAGTGATTTGCCATAAACAGAAGATGACTGTAAAAGTGAATCCTTTTATAAATCTATTTAATAAAGAGAAGGCAAATGTAAAAACAAATCTATGAATAAATAAAACTAAAACTTTGTTTATAGGCTGGCTCAAAGCATTTTGCTGTGGTATGGGGGTCTTACTTTGGGAAACACCATTATGCCCTGCACCTGCCTGGCTTAGTTATTGATTATCTTTGGGCACCAGTTTCATCATCAACAAAAAAGAGTACCTTTTTTAAGCCATAGAAACAGTTTTTTCCAGCTAAATTTTTTTTTTGCAAACCTGTTTATAAAACAAATAGAATAGAGCTGTCTGGTTGAAATGGAGACTGGGAGGCAGGGTGTCTGATGTTCCCCTCTCCAATCTCCCTCACCTGCCCTGTGGTACCTCCAAGACTTCCAGAGCTCTAAGGAACCCAGTTTAAAAACCAGGGGATCCCAAACTGTTGTTCAGGAACATGGCCGGCTACATCAGAATCCCCTGGTGGCTAACTAAAAGCATTAACTAAAGGGAAAAGGATTTCAATAGGAATAGATACATGTATATGTTTAACTGAATCACTTTGCTGTACACCTGAAACTATCATAGCATTGTTAATCAACTACACTCCAATATAAAATAAAAAGTTAAAAAGAATATTGATTCCTGGACCTCAATTCAGACTGCTGAATCAGACTCCAGGGGTGGTCCCCTGCAGCTGTATGTCTCACGCATGCTCCAGGTGATCTGATAGGAGGCACTGATATGGGCCCTCCTGCTTGAATGGGCTGGGATATCTGAATTTAGGAAACTGTTGATTCCTGTCCTCAGGTATCATAGTCACCTGTTTTAACTGGAGCAGAGAATCAGGTGGGAACTGGCAAAATGCCACAAAGATGGCACAAAGATGCCTCTGAAGCCACCCAGCAACACCTGCTCCGGGGCTCCCAGGAGGCAGGCAAGTAACATGTGCTCCCCATGGCCCAGGAGCCCTCTGGTGCGACAAGGACAAAGGACCTCCCAACCCAGCCCTGGCTGTGACCCCGCAGCTGACTCAGAGGCCCTCTGCCAATGTGCCTGCCCACGCCCATACTCCCCTGGGGCCTCACTTACCTCTTAAACCAGAGGTTCAGGCCGGGATGCCCCAGAGGCTTGACACACCTCAGCAGCTTTGGCCCCAGCAGCCTCTTCAGCAGGCTGTGGGCCAGGAAGACGAGGTCCACACAGGTGAGGACAAACAATGCCAGGGCCCTCTAGAAATCCAGGAGGCACGCCATCAGCAGGAAGGCAGCAAATGCTGGGAGTAGGTGGAGGATGAAACAGAGATGGGGTCATCCATAATGACACTGGCGTCTGCAGGACCCCGCAGCCCTATCCTCCGGCTCCACCTTACTCCAGCCAGAGCTCTCTGAGCCTTAGTTTCTTCATCTGGAAATGAGCACCATTGCCTCTATTTTGTCAGAGGGTCATTATGAAGTTAATTGACAGAATGTGTGTAAAAGGGCTTTGCAAACTATAAAGTGCTGACCAAAGTACTGAGGGAGATGTTTAAGGAGGAGGCAAGACAGCATGAATCTCTGAGCATCAACGGAGCGCCTGCTATGTTCCAGAGCCACATTAGGTTTCGAGGAGGACAGAGGTGGATAAGTCAGTGGCTCCAGGAAGGCATTCACTTGTGTGTCAGGATCCCGTTCTGAATATACATCAGTGACCATTTTTCTTCCTGGAATTTACTTTTCCCCCTTTGCCCTTCTCCCCATCTGAGCAGCTAGGCCAGTCTGTGCTATACCTCAAGAGAGGAATATCATAGCAGATAGCAGAGGGGAACTATCTCTCCCTGGCTTATGAATTTCAAGAGCCAGAGCCCTTGAAGAACGGAAAGGACTTATAACCTTTCCATTGGATAAAAAATGTGGGATGGAACATTTTGAGTAAGTGTAATCCCTCCCCCTCCCCCTCTGCTGCCAAACTAGTTAGAGGATACCCGTGGGTCCCAGAGAAGAGGACTCTGAGCCAGGGGAGGTGGCAAAAGCCCAGGCATATTTGTGGCATTGCAAGCAAAGGCGTCCTGCCCCAGGGAGGCAGCAAAATGTCACGGAGAGGAATACGCATGGAATGCATGGGCAGGCAGAAGGCTTCTAAGGTTCCGCACACCTCAGCAGGCACCGAAGCAGAGGAAATGATCTCTATGAGTGGCTCAGACAGAAAGGAGACCAGAACAGGCCCACAATGGAGATGGGGGTGTCTCCACGGCTACTTGCAGCGGCAGAGAACCCAGGACCAGTTGGGGAAGTGGACAGGTTAGCAGGCCCTTGAGAACTGATTGTGGATAATCACCCCCAGGGACTCCTGAGGAAAGAGGTGAGGGCATATTCCAAACTGACAGACGTTCAGTTCCTATCCCTCACTTGGAACAATGAAATTGAAATAGAAACTTTATTTTCCATAAGTCAAGTTATGAAAAATAAAGTTACTTTTCTCTGACGCAGAAGTTTGTGGGCTGGGACACCTGTATGGGGGTTAGTTAGAAGCACACAGGTGAGGCTCTGCAGGGCAGCACCAGGGATGCAGGCATAGGGCTGTGGGAAGTCAAAGGAGGGGGAGCTGGTGGGAGACAGGCACCAAGGTCAGCACGATTTATAGCACTGCCAGAATTACTCCTCACACCCATTTCACGGGTCGGTACTGTGGTGATCCCCATTTAGAGATGAGAAGTGAAGTGACTCACACAGGGAGGAAATTGGACTGGAATTCCAACCTGGGTCTGTCTGTGGCCAGCAGGAACTGGCACGTCGTGTAGGAGAGAGGGCTGTGTGGACAAGTCCTCCAGGAAGGACACGGGAGAGACATGTATTAGGAAGTATTTTCATCCTTCTAGGATCCATTCACCTCTCCGGTGATAGGATTTTCTGTTCCTTTTGGGCACCCCTCCCTACTCTTAACCCATGTGGTCCCGCGGTGTCTGACCCACTTCAGGGGTGGGAGACCACAGCATCCCCTGGGCCCAGGGATGGGCACATGACCTGAGCTAGGCCCATCAAAGGCCTCCAGGGACTTGGCTGGAAATATGGGCAAGAGGTACACTCTTCTGAGATTGGGGACGCTGAGGCCCTCCCTGTCAGTCAGCCTCCAGTGTTATCTTTGCATCCATGGAGGAAGCCCACCTAAGGCGAGGAAGCCATTGCTATGGCTCAGACTAAGTGCTGAGAGCATGAGCTTCATTTCTCTACCACACCTACTTCAGGAAGTAGGTGAAGAGCCTTGCCACAGAAGACGTGATACAATAAAGATATCAAAGAGCTGGAGGGAATCAAAATCCCAAACATGGAGAAAGTAAGGGAGGATTTAATGATTGAGACTGAGTTCCTGACAGCCAAGACAAAAGTGGAAATAGGATATGGTAGGTCATTTCCATTATCTGCTAGAAGGAATTCAATCATTTCTTCAAGAGAAACAAATCTGAGTCTGAGTGAAGGTGGACACAAGGGGAACCAAGATGGCCCTGCTCAGCTCCTGCCAAAGGAAGACTTCGCGGTGACCGACATCTCGAGGAGGAAGCTGCCAGGGCCATGAACCAGCCCCATCGCAGCAGGGCATCCTGCTTTTGATTTCATCATGAAGACTGGGGCCCCTGCTGTCATGCCTCCATGTCCTCTCCCCTGTGTAGTCCCCATGAAGGCCTCTGCATCCACACCCACCTCCCCTGTCGATCTCCCACCTGCCAAGCCAAATCGAGCCTCCAGCTGTGAGGACCCGCAACTCCGCCTGGGCCCTGGACCCCTCCTTCCCCGTGCCCAGGGGACCTTGCTCCACCAGTCATCTCCACCTCCTCACTCTTCCCCTTCTTTCTGCAAACTCCCTGCCTCAGTTCATAAACACAGTCAAAGTGTCTCCCTTCACAAACACACCCCCTTCCTTGACACTGCCACAGCCTTCCTTTAATATTCCCGCCCAGTTCTCATTAAAAAATTTCTCACAAGAGCTGTCTAGACTTACCGTCTACACTGCCTCTCCTCCTGTTCTCCATCCAGCTTTTGCAAGTCCACCCTAAGTCACCATGACTTCCTTGTCCCTAAATCCCACGGACACTGCTCCATCCTTGGCCCGCTGGTCCCCTTATCGCAGAGATGCTGGTGATCTTCCCCTCCTTCTTGAAACCCTTTGCTCCCTGGGCTCCTGCACCGACTCTGCTCCTGGTGTCCTGCTGCTGCCCCCACCTGCACGCCTTCTCAGGCTGTCTCAGGACTCCTCTTCCTCTCTAACTCCTTCCGTGTGGCTGGTCCCCAGGTTTCCATCCGTGAACCACCTCTCAATTCGTTCTCCAAGCACCCCTGGGAAACCTTTTCTCCTCCTGGAGGGCTTAGCAGCGGTTACCTCCAACACACTGTCCAAAACAACTCGCCATCCCCCTCCCTGTTGAGATCCCCTCCTCCACCCCTGTTCCCTGGCTCTGGCGGGCAGCATCACCCAGCCCCGTGGTCCAAGCAGAACCCTGAGGCATCCTGGATTCCAGGGCCTCCTTCATCCTGCACAGGTGATCAGCTCCCAAGTCTGGCTGGTGTGGCTTCTCGAAGATTTCTCAGATCCACCCCCTTCCATCCTCCAGCACTTCATCTTCTCCCATATGGAACGCGGTCCTGAACATCTCCTTCTCCCGTCTTTCCCGCCTGCCTCTTCTGGGTTTCCACAATGTGAATCCAAACTTGACACTTCCTGGTTTAAATCCTTCAATGGTTCTCTCTGGCCTTGGAGGTAAAATCCAAGTTTCTCCAACTCCCTCCCAATACCTGGCCCCTTCTCATCCCTCCAGCCTCATCCTCTGGCACTCCCGGTCTAGAACTTTACCCTCCAGCCACACTTGAATGTTTATCAGCTGCCTGCCCACATACTGCAGGTTTTCACCTTTGCTTGTGTGTTCCTCTGCCTTCTCACTCCTATTGTCCTTCCCCTTTTACCTGGTTAACTCCTGTTCAATCTGTGAGACTGGAATGTTACCTCCTCCTGGAAGTCCTCCCTGATCACCCCCACATCCTTCCTTGGTGCTCCCAGATGGCTCTCGGCATCATGTGGAAATATTTGTTCCCCTCTCACTTACTGATCAGAGAGTACCTTGGGAACAAGATCTGGTCTGGTTCAATTCTCATTCCCCAGCTTCTGGAACAAGAGCTGGCCCTGAGTTGGTGCTCAACAAACCTTTGTTGAGTTATTGGGTAAGTGAATGACGCTGCCCTGAGACATGGATGGCTGGGGTGGAGGTGGCTGAAACCTGGGTGGTGGGAGCCATGGGGCTAAGCAGGAGTGACTGTCTCCCTGGTGGGGCTGGGCCCCAAGCTCACCAGTACACAGCAGGCCTGTGCAGATCCATCGAAGCAGCTGTGCATGCTCCCTGCAGAAGCATCACCCTCAGGGCTGGCTGCAGGCTCCTCCTGGGGAGAAGACCAGCAGGGTCTATGAGTGGCGCCCCCAGACTCCCACCCCTGTGGGGATTCTCAACACCTCCAGGTAGAAGCCACTCAGGTATGTCCCCAGTAAAATGGCAACATGGGGCGAGCCAGGCACTGGCCTTGACATCCCACAGGGTTACAGGGCAACCCTAGCCCAGAGCAAACTAAGGAATGGCTCAGGCCGTCCACTCCTTCCGGCCTCTGTCTGTACCAGCTGTGTCTCAGCCTGGAGGAGCACCACTACCCCAGTGATAATCCTGCCTCCAGGGTTTGGGAAGGAACCAACTGAGACAATAAGGAAGAACCTTACCAACATACAGAAATGCACAAACCACGATGGCTGCCTCCCCTCCCCTGTCCCATTTCCAACTGTCTGAGGAGCAAAGTGGGGAGGTGCCCAGCTCTGCATTTACTCCTGTGGGACATTATCCTCTGAGTCAACAGCACCTCCCAGAGAGAGGAAGTGTGAACAGTCCACTGGCAGCCATCACACAGCCCCACTGCCTTCCGGACCCGGTGCAAATGCCAATTCTTGTCTGGTCACTTGGTCACTTGTCTGTCCCCGGAGGAAAGGCTGGTACCTAAATACCTCTGAGGTCTCCCTGGCTGAGCATGTAGGAGATGCTCACTCACACTCATTCAGCCACCAGTCACTTTTTAAAGGAAACTCTCTCTCCTCTCTCTGTCCCCACTGCCCACCTCCTAAGTGAGGCATTTTTCCTCAATCTTGTCCCAAGGCAGACAGATGGAATCCGCAACCCCACCCGGCTGAATGCTTGAGACCGAGCAGGACCCTATGGACCTTCTGGGCACAGAAGCCTATGTCCCCTGTTTCTTGTTTGTAGGGAACAGACTCCAGCCTCCATGACCTTCCCTGAGTCCCAAAGGGCAGATTCAAACAGTTGTTAATCAGGGAAGGGAAGGGATGCAGAGACAAGGGAGTAACAGTCAAGAAACAATAGTGCAACCTTGGGGCAGAGTCCTGGGTCCCCTTCAAGGGAAACACATAACAATATCTTTGAGCTCTTTACAGAACTAAAACCCAACAGATGGGAAATGTCAGCATTCTTCATTCCAGAAAAGACCACCTGAGCCCAGATTAAAGGAACCAGAGAAGCTCATCAAGAAGATTACCTGAAACAAAATTAAAGGGGTGCAGGCCCTGCACACACCCTAGTCTTGTCAGCCACCCCACCCTTGAACCATTGCTATAAAACTCCTCACCAAATGCTCCTGGGTGGGGACACACAGTTTTCGAGGGTGGGAGCCGGCTGTGTCTCCCTTTGCCTGGCAAAGCAATAAAGCTATGCTTTTCTACTTCACCCAAAACTCTGTCTCCGAGATTCGATTTGGCACTGGTGCGCAGAAGCCAAGTTTTTGGCAACACGCTCTCATCAGCTCAGGATCCGGCCAGTCAGGACCACCCCCTCCCCAGTAGACCTGGGTGTCAGGAGGCCAAGCTCTAGGTTCTATTTGCTGCCTGTGTGACCTGGGTCCATCTCTCTCCCTCTCTGGGCTTCAGCCTCCCCATGTGAAAGGAGGGGCCTGGCCCAGTCTAGGGGTTTTCAAACTAAGCTTCAAGGTTCCCTGAGGTGCCCCAGAGACCGAATGGGGTAGAAGGCAGATGGGGAGTAAAGAGGAGACCAGGCTGGTTCAGGGCCCCAATCCAACTTCAACCAGAGCGCCCCTCAGTATAAATTGGGGTCCCCCATGGGATTTTCATTCTGGCCGCTTCCAAGCAGATTGGGAACCTCTGGCCCGGCTCACCTCTGAGGCCGAGGTCAGCAGGACTCATCTGTTGGCTAAAACACGTTTACTCCTTTCTTCAGCAAAGGTCCAGCAAGCCCCTTCCCTGTCAGGAGGCCAGGTTCCCCACAGGGGCCTCCTCCCCAGGCCAGCCCACATCCTTCCTGGAGACGACTTACCACCCTGAGGAGGGTTCCGGGCCAGCCTTGCTCCCGCTGTCCCTGACTTCTGCAGGGCTTGAGTCCCTGTGCCAGGGTCCCGGCCTTCCTCCTAAAGCCACCAGAGATGGACCGGAGTGTGCCTCCCGCCTCACGCGAGAATTACAGCTGGGGGCCTGGAGTGCAGAGAGACCCAGGCTGCCACCAGTGTGCCCACGGTCGCCTCGGGAGTGGGCTGGGGACCTATCCTTTAATTTCTTTTTTTTTTTCTGGCTGTGCGGCGAGGCATGTGGGATCCTAGTTCCCCAACCAAGGATCGAACCCGCGCCCCCCTCACTGCCCCCGCCACAGTGGAAGCACAGAGTCTTAACCACCGGATGGCCAGGGAAGTGCCTTCCTCCTTATCATTTAGGTCACAGCTGAAATGTCACTTCCTGGGTGAGCCCTTCCCTGACCTTTCTGACGAGGGCAGGCTCTACTGGCACGTGACAGGTGTGCCCAGATGTTTAATGAGTGATTAAGGGGGCTGCTCTGTTTGGAGGAGGTCAACACACTGCAGGGGTCCTAAGCGTTCCAGCAAAGAGGTGAGGAGGAGGTGGGGGCGGGAGGAAGATGATGAACAAAGGCCCCTCCCGCCAGGAGGGGCCAAACCAGCATCGGGGAGGGGACAGGCCAGGCTTTCCAACAGCTCAGCCCCCATGTTCTCCAAACCACCAGCCGCTGATGTGAGAGAGCTGGCCTCTCTTAGGCTCCGTGTGTCGTCCTCCGTGCGCCAGACCTTGCAGCTGAAAGACAAAGTCAGGGCCCAAAGCTGAAAGGGGAGGCCAGGCAGGACCCAGATGAGAGGCTGGGCGAAGGGCAGAGGATGGAAGGGAGGAGGCGGGGAGCAGGGAGCAGTGGCCTGGCATAGCCTCTCCCGTCCCAGAGCTCAACCCTCATTGTGCCAGGGGCCCCAGTGACCGAGGAAGGCCCCCGCTCCCTGCACTCCTGAACCTGTGAGAGGCAAGTCCTTGTAAATCTGGGAGGTCAGGCAGAAACAGGGCAAGGTCTGCCCACTTCAAAGAGTAGGAAAGGAGGGAATTATGTATAGCATGTGTATGTATCTGAAAGGCATTTTTCTGAAGACAGGTCTTAGCTTTCATCATTCACCGCAACAGGTTAAAACCATTGCCATTAAGTGATATTTTCATTGTATTACAGTCTCCCATCTCTGAAAGATGGAGAGACGATATCCTGAAGACAACATTCCAGTCCCTGGATCCAACTATACCTGAAACCAGTACTACCCCTGGACTTTTCAATTACAGGAGCCAATATAGTCCTTTTTGTTTTTCTTTCTTTCTTTCTTTCTTTTTTCTTTGCTGAAGCTCAGTTCATAGGCCTAAACTCATCTGTAAATAGGAGCCCTAACGAAGACTCCATCTCTCTTCACTCCTGTCCCCTCTCTTTTTCTTCCCCTTGGGTAGCACCCTACCTTGCCCAAGCGCCAGACTGGCTAAGCTCACATACCCAGGAGCACACATGCAAGGGCGCACATGAGCAGGCCCATGTAGGGAATTACACACAAAGGCAGAGCCTGGGAAAGCCCAGCCACCCATGCACACACGCAAACACAGACACACAGCTGCACGGAGAGGGGCAGGCTCTTCTTCCTACTCACATATTTGTGGTCAACAAGTCCCTCTCAGGGAGATGGAAGCGCGTGTTTCCACGGGGACGGGCTGGATCCAACCTGCTTGCGCTTTGGCCTGTCTTCTCATCTCAGTGGAAATTCCTGGGCAGAGTCCAGAGTTGGAGTTGGCTGGGCCTCCCACCTGGCTTTGTCCAGCACGGTCTCCAGAGCCCAGGGCCACAGCTGGGGCAGGGACCCTGGCCTCTCTCAGGGAAAAGAGGAAACGGGGCAAGTGGGCCTCACTCTAGGCCTGGCCTGCGGAGCTCCTGCCTCATAACTGAATCTGCCTTCCTCCTCAATGACGCCTTCCTCTCCACTCTTTCCTGCTCCCAAACAGGCCCACCTCTTCCAGGAAGCTCAGCTTTATTACTCTCACTCTCCCCATATCCCCTCCTGGGGCCTCCTTTTCCACCTGCCATCAGTGCTACTCAGTTTTTTGGATCATGTGTTTTATCGTTCGTTTTGCATCTTACACAGTCTCCCTTTCCTCACTGGATCAGTAATTATAACAGCAACCTATTTTCCTGAGCTTGAAGATAAGGAAAGCAGTGTAGCTCCATAAATAGTAAAAGTGTTTCAGGTCTAAGTGGTCTTGAAAACAAAACAAAATCACAGCTTGCCCTTTGGTTCCATGGCTTTTTAACTGACACCTAAGCAACAGTGTGCAAAGTCAATGGACAAAGCCTTTAACATTTCAGTCCTCAAACTAAACATTAAACTTATCTGACAGGATTGACAACATCTTCTTAATAATTAATCATACACACTCAGGACAAAATCCTTTATGATGCATAAACACTTCCTGGTAACACAGAGGCGGAGTTACAAGCACATGCTGGTTGTTTTGGAAGTTTGGGAACCATGATGGATGAAGGGTGGGGGGTACCCCTTCTCTTTAAAAACATTTTTTTTGTCATTCTGATTACCAAAGTATTACACATACATCAGCAAACATTTAAACATTATAGAAATATACAAAACACAGGAAGTTAAAAAATCCCTCTAATCTGAGCCTTCCAGATATGACCACCACTGAGCTTGTGGAATTTTTCTCCAGACATTTTTCATAAGTGAATACTCTTTTAGGTTATTCATTTTACAAAAGAGGCTTATACTATACCAGCTTTTTTGCAATTTGCTCTTTTGGGTGGAGATCCACACTGTGCCCCACTCACTCTGTTGGAGGCTTGTGTGCTGCCTTGATTATAAACTAAATGTTTGTGGCATCATCTGGTTCATCCTGAGCAGAACACCTGCCACCATGGGCAGCCTCCACAGGGATGGGCTTGCAGCTGCCCTGGCAGGGGGCCTCATCAAGCCCCAGTGAAGGGACGACGGGACTGTACTTGCTTCTCTGCCTCTGCCCACTTCTAATTTCTTCCTCCCCTCTTTCCCCCCTTTCCTGCTCCCTCTCCCCTCCCCTTCCCCCCCTCCATCCTCTCCTCTCTCCTCCCCCTCCTCTCTTGGTGCCCAGAGAAGAGCCAGGAGGCACAACACATCCAGGAGGAGCCAAACTTTTTCCAAAACATTCCCTACGCTGCACCTTAGAGCCTTGACATCTTCGTGTGCCCTGATCTCTCAAACAAGGATTTAATAGGCTGTGTGTCTTGAAATGAACCCGGAGCTTAGAGCCCAAAGGTCTAGATTCAGTCCTGGCTCTGAAAGTTAACTGGTTTCCTCATCTGTAAAACGCTAGGTAACAGTACCTACCTCATAAATAAATATTGATGGGGATTAAATGAGCAAATGCAGGTGAGGTGTTTGGCAGAGAGGCTGGCACCATCAGGCTGGCCGGTGTCATTGCTGTCACAGGTCCCATCTCAAGACTGTCTGGACACACTGCTCTCCTCCTCCAGGCCAGGAGACCCTGTGTTGCTTCCCTGCTCCTGCCCTGAAGGAGGGGCAGTCAACAGCGATCCTGGCCCCCAGAAACCAAGTGCTCTTTTCAAGTGGAATTTGGCTGAGAGCCACAGGCTGGGTGGTTGGGAGGCTGGGTGGGTTGGGATGAGCCCCCAGGGAAAGAACAAGAGCTGGAGGACTTCATGGGTCCTGGCTGTGCCCCATCTAGCTGTGTGACCTTGGCATGTCACTTGACTCCCTGTGGCCTGTTTCCTGAGGAGATGATCTCACTGGGGTGGTACAGTGGGGCCTGGAACTGAGCCAGGGCTGGGGTGCTAGGTCCAGAGCAGGGCGAGGCAAGGAATATATATATATATCTAATGACACAGACTTGTCACAGTTGCAGCATTTGAACTTGTTGTATAAAAAGGAAATCTGTAAATCTATAACTTGGCAACATTTTACAACGCTGTATATTAAAGATGGCTTTCTCAAGAAATCCAGAACCACACACCCCTATGGTCAAACACTTGTGACATTTGTGCCTCTGCTTTTAAAGGTGCTGTGATGGACAGCTGGCATGCCGGGGTTCGAGAAGAGTGGATGGCTTGAAGTGCTTGCCTTTACCTGTGCAAAATCAAGTGGCTGCCTCTGTTCCTATTTTACTGTAGATTTGATAGTGTCTGTTCCTGTTCCAGTCTCCAGGGAGCTTCTCTGTAGACTAACACCACCACCCACCAAGTGGTGGAGATGCTAGTGTCTGGGTAGTCGTGGTTTTCTGTTGGACATTTGAATGTGATAAACAACCCAGCATCACTGGGGAAATACTACATGTGGAATGTGCACGTTTCCAGGGGGCGAACATTGTCAGTCAAGAGGTTTGCAATGATTTCCTTCCTGCCAAAAATAAATGTGAAACTGCAAACAAACAAAAAGGCCCGCGCGTTGCTATATATATATATGTATAGCAATGTGTGTGTGTGCGTGTGTGTGTGTGTGTGTGTGTGTGTGTATCGTTCCTCCCTTCCAATCAAAACAAAACAGAAGCACTTAGAAGGATTTATAATGAGGAGGCTGCTCCACCTCTCCCATCCCTGTCCCACTCCTCAGAGGCAACCCCTTACCTGTTTCTGGCTTCAGTTCTCTGGGGCCACTCCTGTTTCAGGGGAATTCTTGGTCTGAGTGGTAGAGAGTCCCTTCTCCTTGCCATACTCTGATACAATGAAGAGGATATTTTTAAAAGGGGTGAGTGAAACATTCAGAACTGTAAGAGGCAGACCTCGTTAGAAGGGACGTTCAACAGTCCCCTTATTTTCTTCTCACAGTTTTGCCTGCTCTCACCTCTTGGCTCTTCACAGATAAGGCCTTTTTCATCACACCTATTCATGTGTCCAAGCAGTGACTAAAAAGAGAGGCTCCTCCCTGGTCAAGTTCCGTGAGCATGAGCTTGTCATTCCTCTTTCCTAAACCTGCTTCTCTCTCTCTTACACCTGGGTGGTTAGCAGAAAGGACATTCAATACAATGGTTCCTTTCTCATTTGGGGCATTGAAAGATGGGATTCCTATAGTCCTAGAAGAAATATGCTAAACTAGAAAGAGTGTACAAATTCTGATGACACGGAGCAAAATACAAAAACTGAAGAAAGGGGACTTCTCTGGTGGCGCAGTGGTTAAAGAATCCGCCTGCCAATGCAGGGAACACGGGTTTGAGTCCTGGTCTGGGAAGATCCCACATGCCGCGGAGCAGCTAAGCCCGTGCGCCACAGCTACTGAGCCTGCGCTCTAGAGCCCGCGAGCCACAACTACTGAGCCTGCATGCCTAGAGCCCATGCTCCGCAACAAGAGAAGCCACTGCAATGAGAAGCCCGTGCACCGAAACGAAGAGTAGCCCCGGCTCGCCGCAACTAGAGAAAGCCCGCGCGCAGCAACAAAGACCCAACACAGCCAAAAATGAATAAAATAAAAAAAAAAAAAAAACTGAGGAAATATCTTAGATGTGTATGCCCTCTGCTTGTAACTCTTACACACTTTCCGTAAGAAGGGACCCTCACGAGACTGAGAGCACAGTGCTCTTCTAGCACCTATACAGCAAGTCCAGGTGTTCACAGAGGAAGGAAATACTCCAAACACCCAAAAGGCCAAACTCCCCCGCCCCAGCTTACTTGCCGTGACTATCCCAGCGTCTCCTGCTAGAGTCCACCCCTTGACCCTTTCTATTCATTGGGAACAGATGGGCACAAACGGCCATTGTCCAGTACAAGACGAAAGAATGGGTCTGGGGGTTCATCTCTCTCAGCAACAGTGAAGGGCTGGTAAAGTAAGACGCCTGGTCCCATGCCCATGAGGGCCCATGGCCACCAGGCAGGGGGATTTTCCCCAAACAGCTAAGAGATCACTCTTTCCAAATATTTAACTGGCTGCTACACTGTGAAGTGTATTTCCCTTGTCTCTGTTTTCGTTTTACCTTCTATCCCTCCTGCCTTTCCATCTCATATTAGCTTTTTATATAATGAGAGGTTGAGATGCTTCCTTTTTCAGTTTGAAGCAGGTTAAGATGTTCCACAAAGGTAGGTCTTAATTCACGTCATCCTGTGAATGACGTGATTCAAGGATGATATCCGTGGCTTTTGTGGGTTTTATACCAAAGGCTATATCCTCCTCTGGGAGGCACAGTATTTCCTGCCAGCCATTGGCAGGGGCTGTGCGAGCTGTTAATTTGGATCTCCATTGCCTTGTTGGCCCAGAGCCTGACACGGAGTCACAGTTGACAAGCTGGTTAATTATATAGGCAAAGATAGTTCCTTGATTGTTCCATTTTTTCCCTCTGTCAGGGCAGTGGTCTGATGTGGCACCCACTTAGAGCAAAGCCAGCTATTTTTATAAAAGTTTCCGTGAGGAGGGCTGTAGGCCTCCTGGGAGGAGCCGCTCAAATGAATCTACCACAGACCAGTAGTGTCATAGGGGAGGTGCTGACAAATGGGCATCACAAGTTAAATACAACGGTCAGGAAGAACAAAAATGAATGCCTCTGAGGGTCACATCTAGACACTGAGACTCTCCAGGTGCAGCTTGCTTCCCTCCACCCAGGTGGGCTTCCACCAGTAACATCGTGCCACAGGACGCAAGGCACGGTCTCCTCTCTGACTGGCACCAACTCTCCTTCTTGCATGGGCCTGCCAAGCCTATATCATGCCTCGCTGTGCGACACTGCTTTCCATGCCACTATGCCTTAGGAGCAAGGTTCCCTCTTCCAAAGACTGTGTCCCAGTCCCTTCACTTCTATGCCTGTTGGGGTTCGTGGAGAGCCTGACCCAGCCCAGGGGCTAATCACTGACCAGCCTGTGGGTCAGGAGGCAGTACTGATTGTTTCCCACGGGACGAGAGCTGGAAAGACGTTTTTCAGGGGTGGGGTGGAGATGTTGTTAGCCACCCCACCTTGAAGGAAGGGAGAAACACCAGGGTCTCCCAGCTTGGCAGGCAGGATAGATTCTGGGCCCACACTTAGACCTAATGGCTGTGAATTGTATTCTCTAGTCAAGACTCCACGAAACCAGGGATACTGTGTCTCTGAGCAACTTCCTGAGTAAGACCCAGCACAAATTCCACAGGGGTTGATTTAATGGGCACTCAGCCACATAATCTGAATAATTTGACTCCAACTGCTCCAAGAATATACATTTTGCCCTGTGAGAAAACAAGAGCCCTAATGAAATTTCTCTGCCAGTGACACAGTCTACACAGTAGGACACCTGATGCATCTTAAGCAGATTCCTTGGCCTGAGATGGGGATTCTCGTTCGAGTTATTTACTCCGTACGTCATGCATGAGGGTCCTTCATCTTCATGCGTGATGCATCCCCTGAGGCTGAGTAGACGGTAGCCGCTATCTCTCGCTGCCCTTTGGAAATAATAGGAAAGAGCCATCTCTGAACCACATCAGTTCTGAGGTCTGAGGACAGTGCCTCATGGATTCCAGGACCTCTGGGTGTCAGTAGGGGGTGCCTCTATTAGAAAAAGGAACAACAGGCACAAAATGGAGTCACTTGTTCCCAGGAGAGCAAACCAAGACTCTACTACAGTTTCAGCCACTCCCAGGACTGCAACCTTTAACCAATCAATCTGGAATTACCTGATGAGCTCATCTCACCTGCATGATAGACTTCCCCTTTTCCCCCAAGGGAAGGTGACCTTGCCTGAAATAATCCTTTCTTTCCTTTATGACTTTATGGTCCCACCCTCCTTCTGCCTTTAAAAACCTTCCACTTTGTACACCTCCTCAGAGCTCCTTTCTATTGATACTTGCCAGATGCGATGCTGCCCAATTCGTGAATAAGGCCAATTAGATCTTTACTCAGCTGAATTTTCTTAACACTCCTACCTAGAGCTAGCTCCAATCACTCACGTGCATCTCAGTTCCAAGGACTTAAGCAACAAGCCCAAGCTCACATGGCTAGTAGAGGTGGATTTGAACTGAGGTCTGTCTGTTCTCAGCTCAAACAACCTTCTGATAATTTGGCTTCCCTTGAAGTTCTCCTTTCAGAAGAAGGGAAGAATTCCCTTGTCAGGTAAAGTGTCCAGTCTTCTGGATGGTTACATGTCTCATAAAAAATTAGCAAGGTGGGTTTTTAGTGTGAAAATTCCATTTCCTTGTACGTTTAATGAATGAAACAGGCTCCCTGAGTGTGATCAGCTCAGGGGTACTGACAACATCAAGGTACAAAACTGAGACCCAGACCCCGTCCCACACAACACTGTTGGTCTGCCAGTAGCCAGAATCCACAGTCAACATAACCCAGGGGATAAGAGGCAGAATCAAATCATGAAAAAGAAGAGTTACTCCCAGAAGAAACTGTATGAGCTAGCTAACATACATTGCCAAAAAATATAGGGGAAATTTATGGAAACTTTTTAAGGCTGTTTGACCAAGATAGTGGAACAGAATTTTGATTCAGGTTTTGTTTATTGATATGTTCTCACTCACCAGAGATTCTATAGAAGCTCATACAGCCAGATACAGTTCTTACCATTTGTGCAGGGGGAGGGGGGCTATAGATGAGGGTGGATAATACAAATCTGGACTAAATACTGACCCATGCTAAATTATAACAAAAGACCAAAATTCCAAGAAAGGCAGGAACTCACAGATTTCAGGGAACAAGAATGCTTTATTGGGTCCCTGACATGCATCCAGCCCATCTGCCCTCTGGCCTCTGACATGACCCAGAAGATGGCCTCACTCCCTGCCATGAGAAATGGGCGAGGCTCTGCTGGCTTTCCTCTCTAGGCCTGGAATTCTGGTTGGAAGAGCTCCTATGAAATGAAATTCCTGATCTCAGCAGCAGAGATAGGCAGAAGGAACGCAGTAGAGGAGGCATCATAATGGACATGGGTATGGAAACCAAACCTCTAGCTGTGGTTAATTAATCATTGGGCCCCAGGAATGAAAAAAACCAGACAGTGCCTAAGATATCAGCTAGTTACTACTGTAACCAAAGGTTTCTGGTTGGGCAAAAAGGTCTGTCTCAGCTGCCAAGGTAGAGTCAAAATCTCCCACTTAATTTCCAGACTTTCAAGGGAGAGGAAGTCAAATATCTTTGAAGAAAAACCTTATTTTAACACTTAGCTGCATATTGTTAACCTTCCTTGCAGCCTTCCCCAAAGGGATCTGTGTTCACTTATCTGGGAACGGAAAGGAAAGGAAAGGAAAGTACTCAGATTTGGGGAGAGGGGTTTTGTAGGACACTGGCTCCAAGCCAAGTCCAATTTCTGGGTACAGTAGAAGAGCATGTGGTCTCCCAATCCATAGAGATGTTTAATAGACTAAATTTTGCGCCATAGTAGACCCAGTGGAATCTCAAAGCCAATGAAAGGTTATTTTGAGTGTACAGTTGAAATGGATATATTCTGAAACACACATAACCCCCACAATGGCTCTGATATAGAATGACTATAACAGGATAGGAGAAGCACAAGCCATCAGAATTCCCGCTCCCGATCGAAATGGTAAATCAAAAGTGATTCTGTATTTGTGAGGGAATTGTAGAAATTAGTGTTACTATCAGATTTAAGAGTGAAGTCATAGTGATTCCTACCACAGCTCAGCCTGGCCAGGAGGTCTTTGGATTGTTGTAAACTTTAAAACGTGTTAACTCCAATTGCAGGTGCTGTTCCAGAAATGGTCTTCTTGCTAAAGCAAATTCATCCAGCTCTTGGCATTTGGTATGAACCCTTTGATCTAGTGAATTCATTTTTTTCCTTGATTTTGATGAGCAAAGAACATCAGAAGCAATTCGTCTTCAGCTGGCAGGGCAGCAGTACTCCACTGCTGTCGTGCTGAATGATATATATTATCTTAGCTGTTCAGCTCTGTGCCACAGACTGCCTCACAGGGACCTTGACCTCAGCAATGCAATGTTCCAGCACGCTGATGGCATCATGCTGATAGGGTCTGGAGATCAACAGTTTCCCTAGATGCTTTGGTAAGACATATATATGTGAGTCAGAGGTGGGAGATAAAGCATGTGAAAATGCAAATGTCTGTTCATTTAATAAAGTTCCTGGGGATCAAGGGGGTCTGTTGAGGTCAGAATAGTTCCTCCATTAATGTAGGACAAATTCCTACATTTTGAATTCCTTACCACTAAAACCCAATTCCAGGCAAAATTGTCAGTTTGGGGCATCTTGCTCCAACCCGTTTACTGACTGACCCAGAAGACTGCCAGCTTTGGGCAGGGCGCAGAGCAAGTGAAGGCTCTCCAGCAGGAAAAGCCCTTAGCACATATGATTCTGCCACGAGGCCACATGACCTGGCAGAGCCAGTGGTGCTTGAGGGGTCTGTCTGTGGCATATTGGGGAGCCACATGGAGATTGTGACAAGTCTTGATTTAAAAAATATGGAAGGATGGGGTGAGATAGGGAGGGTGGGAGGGAGGGAGACGCAAGAGGGAAGAGATATGGGGACATATGTATATGTATAACTGATTCACTTTGTTATACAGCAGAAACTAACACAACAATGTAAAGTAATTAGACTGTAATAAAGATGTTAAAAAATTAAAAAAAATAAAAAATATGGCAGGAGAACCCAGAGTTTGGAATCAAGTGATACGCTGGCCAACAAGTAACTATTATCCTTTTGACACACAGCCCTCTGACTTGCCACTGGGCCCTGGGGAGTCTAACTGCTTGGCTACAGCCTACCAGGTGGCCATGCTGGCCCTTATGAACAGGGGTTGTCGGATCCACCCAGCCAAAATCAGGCATGGCCACCATCATTAGGTGAATGCTCCAGGACAGGGTTCTGGAGGCACAGGCAAGCTGTGTGTGGGCATCACTCACTCTCCCATAATGCCTCCTCCTGCCCTACGGCTGAGCTCGCCTCAGTCTACACTTCTGCTATGGCTTTAACAGGGCAGGAACTTATCTTGACCATTAGGGGCCATTCTTCTGGATTTGGATTTGCTTTCCTTACCCATCATGCCTCTCCCATCAAAATCCATGGAATTGGGCTTCCCTGGTGGCGCAGTGGTTGAGAGTCCGCCTGCCGATGCAGGGGAAACGGGTTCGTGCTCCGGTCCGGGAAGATCCCACATGCCGCGGAGCAGCTGGGCCCGTGAGCCATGGCCACTGAGCCTGCGCGTCGGGAGCCCGTGCTCCGTAATGGGAGAGGCCACAACAGTGAGTGGCCCGCGTACCGCAAAAAAAAAAAAAAAAATCCATGGAATTATCAACTGTTGTAAACAGCATTTCGGTATCCCCACATATTGCATTCAACCAGGGAATACACTTTATAGCAAAGTAATGGGTTGATGCCTATGGCCTTTGCTCATCTTGTCAGGATCCCCACAGTCTAGAAGCAGTTAGCTTGATAATATGGTGAAATGGTTTGTTGAAAACTCAGCTAAGGCACCAGCTGAAAACAATACCTTGCAAGGTTGGGTAAGGCCTGCAAGATGTAGCATAAGCTCCAAACCGGCAACCAATTCATGGTGCTATTTCTCCTACAGGCCAGGAAGCAGGGTGAAGAGGGGCATGTTATCACTACATCTCAATGCGTTTCTCATATCTGAGGTTTAGGACCAGACTGGTGTAGAGGTTTTAGTTCCCAAGAAAACATATCTTCAAAACCTCATAGTAATGATTCAAGTGAATTAGAAGCCTAGGCACCTGGCCATCTCAGGTTGCTTGTACCTCTGAGCCACACATAGCTAGGATAGGAGTATATCTAGGATACGAGTAAATATAGTGACACGTAGGAGTAGCCAGGATGATTAACTCTATCAAGGGAAAATATGATTGCGGCTACTTAAAAGGGGGCAGGGTACAGATGGACGTGGGGGTTTCCTAAAGTGCTTCCTGGTACTGCCATGTCCAGTGGCTAATGCCTGCCACACAGGCAGGACCGCTTAGGAACTCGACTTTGGAACTGAAGATTTGGGTCACTCCAAAGGGCAAAAAAATCCCTAGTCACAAATACTAGTTCTCATGACCAGTTATAGAAATGGACCGTAGCCTTTACTCATACTTCCCTTCTTGTTGGGTTATATAATTTCCACAGGTTGCAGAATTTCAAAAGGAGATTGTGATAAAAGAGGGAAGAGTATCATTAGTGACACTGGACTTTGGAGAATGGTAGCCCTGGTCATTACCCCTGGACTTAGTCATTGACTATTACCTTGAATGGTCTCCCCAAGCAGAGAGCGGTTTGCTTTTGGTTGTATGTAAGAGAGTTGTAGTGCATCAGATGGGAAGAAAGGTGTGTGTGTGTGTGTGTCTGTGTGTGTCTGTGTGTGTCAGGGTATCTTCTGTGGTTGCCTGCCAAGCCCTTTCTACCCTTCCACCCTCCACCATTCTTCTGGTAAGAATCCCCATCCTTTGGAAAACTACCTCTCTCCCAGTCCACGATGCCCGGAGCTCCAGGACAGGAATTTGAACCTTGAGTGGAGGGAGATCCACTGGAGCCAACGGCAGCAGCTCCTGGGAGGCAAGCTCTGGAGCTACCCTGGCTCCTGCCCTTCTAAAGGCCAACTGTTCAGCTATTCTTTTGGTTCTGTGAACTACCCCCAACACCCTTCCCATGAAGGTCCAAGTCCATTTCTGTTGCTCAAAACCCAAGAAACCTAATGGAAAGCACCTCTTTTGAGACCACCTCATGCATCTTTGCCTCCCAGCAGTGGTCAGCTCGGGGTCTGGCATAAAGTAAGTCTGCTCAGTATGTCTGCCGAATGAATGGATGAATGAATAAACAAATCAACAATATTCCAGCTCTCAGTTCACCGAGGCAATCTGGATATGCAGGCTGGGAGAGTTGGGAGCAAGAGGAAAAAGTGGGCAGAGTCACCTGAGCACAAGAGGAGGTAGAGAAGTCAGAAATGTCAAATGGAGGGGGTTAAAGGTCAGGCAAGGAAAGGCCTGGGTGATGGGGTGGGGCTGAGAATGAGAAGCCTCTGCAGCTTGGGAGGCAGGAAACAGTCAGTGAGTAGCTGAGAGGCAGGAGCTGGTCTTCCCCCGGGCTGGTCTTGCCCCAGTGGAGGCAGCCAAAGACACTGGGCGTTTCCCCAGAGCCCCAGCTCTGCTCTTCCTTCCTGGGATCCTTCCTTTGCATTCCTCTTCCAAATGAATGAGCAATTCCAAAGGCCTAAGCGCCCTCGTAAGGGGCACAAGCCATCATTCCATTAGTACAAGAAGCACAGACTGTCTAGCTGTGGCCACAGAAGGCTGAGGCTGAATGCCAATCTAGGATCCAAAACATGGATTCATTTTTCCAGTGGGTCCTGGGACTGCAGGACGCCTTCAGAGAACCGCCTGGGGAGACGGGACCCTGACCCCATATACCTACAACCACACCAGATAAGGGCGAGCAAGATACACAGTTGCTGCCTTTATTGCATTCCAAGGGGAGCAGGCTAGCTCCAGACCCACCCCATCCCAGGCCTCAAGGAAGGGTTCTCAGGAAGGGCCCAGGGTGCTGGGCCGAGCACAGCAATTCCTTGGGAGCCTATGTTGAGGCCCAGAGCTGGAGTCCCAGGGTCAAGAGCTAATGGTTAGGGGCAGGGGGTCCTAATTCCCAGGCACAGAGACACTCCTCCACCCTGCACATGGGTGGACTGCATTCTTCCTACAGCTCCCAGGTGCACGCCCTCTGGAGAAGAGTCCCAGCCCTCTATCCCTGGTCAAGAGGGGATGTGAAATTCACTGTGGCCCCACCTCCTTTCAGTATGGAGCACAAGGTCCCACAAAGTCAACACCTTCCGTCTGGCCACAGCTGCTGATGCAATCCTCATGCCAGCTCTCACCTCACGGGCAGAGGGCCTGGGAGAAGTAGGGGAGGAGTGTCCTGGGGTGGGCTGAGAGGCCAGAGGGTCTGCTCTTCACCTAGGTATGGTGGGTAGGGTGGGGGTCAGGCTAGGGAAGCCCTCGGGTAGGGGAACAAACAGAACTCAGTGAAAGGCAGGCAGCAGGCTGCAATTGGGCTCAAAGCCAGGGATGGGGGATGGGGTGCAAGGGAGCATGGTAGGCAGGTGACTGAGTGCCTGAGTGATGGAGGAAGGAAGAGCATGAACACACATCACCAAAGACACAAGGATATGACAGTCTCTGGAAGGGCCCTGAGCCCCATTCGGGCTCAGGGACAGGTTAGTTGCAAGATAAGCTGGGGTGAATGAGGCAAAATGACTCGAAGGAAAAGACACCCTGAGAGTCACCAGGCCAGACACCGCAGAGGAAGTCTGGAGCCCTGAGGATAGGGAGGGATCAGGGCCAAGTGAAGGGAAAAGGGTAGGTGCTGGCCTGCGTGCCCCCAGAGTGCAACATTCACGGCAGGGCCTGGGGCAAGGGGTTGGTTGCAGAACTCATGCAGAGGACTCAGGGAGCCTCCAGCAGTGGCCAGTGTAAACTTCAAGGAGGGCTAGGCTGCAGGCCCCGGGAGGTAGGGCCTGGGAGCCGCGGGGACGATGGCACCAGGAGAGGCCACCGGGCTGGGTGTCAGGTACCAGGCATCTGATGAGGAGAGGCTGCGGGCAGAGGCCCCGAGTGGTGCCGCCTCAGTGCACCTGCTCCGGTTAGTCCTGTACTGGGAACGTCTCCATCGGTTCCAGCTGCTTCCTTGTTGGTCTGCTGCTGGGTGGAGGCCCCCAGCCTCCTGTGGGGGCTACCGCATGCCCTGGGCCTTGGAGCCTCCATCTTGGATGGGAGGCTGTCCGAGTAACTGGGTGGCGACTGCCTCTGAGGCCTGAGGGGTGGCCTTGGAGCTTGGGGCACTCTTCTGGGGACTGGGAGGGCCTTTCCTCTGGGGCTGAGGACTCAGCTGGGGGCCCCTCCTGCCGGCAGATGGACTCTTGGAGCCTTTGGCCTTGGCTTGGGGGTGGGCAGCCTCAGGGCCCTTGAGAGGTTTTAGCCCCAGCATCTCACAGAAGGTGTTGCACTGGTGGGAAGAGGCAAACTGGTCCAGCAGGGCAGGGAAACAGCTCTCCTTGAGGCCTTGGTATCTGCAGCCAAATAGTAAGAGCTGAGTAGGAGTCCCACCCAGAGAGAGAGTCCTTGGGGGGCAGACTGTGGGGTGGCCACAACCAGGGTGTGGTGCCCAAGGTCCATCCTACCTTACCTCGGGGTGCTGGGGAGTCCACCTGAGGCCACCTCAGATGGCAGCCTCCGAAACCTCAACTCTAAACTGAGGTCTCATTACACCCTGGCCCATGGAATTCATCGGGTGGGACGTCACTCAGTGTGAGGACGATCTGCCTTATTAACATAAATAAGAGCAGACTCCAGCTCACCACTCTACTCACAGGGCCCTGCTTATCTGCACCCTGATGAGCTTTCACAAGTGAGAAGGAAGGGGAGCAGGTACACTGAGAGCCCAGGATGTAGGTGGTCCTGTGCATGGGCGTCAAGAGCTACCGGACCAGATCTGGGGTCAGGGGCACAGCAGGTGGGGATCAGTGGCCCCTGAGACATTACTACATGGCCATGGGTGCAAGTGGGACTCTCTGGTCACAGGTCTAGCACCTCAGGGTTGGAGAACCAGAAGAACTTTGACATTTTCCACCCTGAGCAGACTCTCAGAGGGCATTCTGTCCCCAAGGAGCACTCACCCTCGCAGTTTGGTAGCAATCTGCACATCAGTCATTTTCCAGTTAACCCCTGAAAAGAGAGAGAGTGGGGAGTTGATGGCATCCTGGACTGGTTCTAGGGTCCCCATGTCTCCAAGATGGATATCACTTTAGATGGGAACTTGCCAGATTGCGGGGCACATCTTCAGGTACCCTCTCATTGGGCATCACCCTGGCCTGTCTCATGGGTAGTGTGGGTATCTCTGTATTATTAGTAGTAATAATATTCCCATTTTCACAGGTGAGGAGATAGGCTCAAAGTTAAGTGACTGCAGCAAAGTCACATTTATTCATTCATTTAATAATTGAACACTGTCTGTGTGCAATGACCACTGTGAATCAAAGTTCAGTCTTTCTTACTCCTAGATCCAAAAGTCTTCCAGCTGTGCAATCCTGCCTCTACTGGATGAGATTAGGTCACAAACTGAGCTGGCCTCTGGCTTTGAGCTAAAACTTTCTCCTTCCTCATAACAGATTAGCCCATCTGGACAAGAGGGAGAAAGGTGGAAATGCGAAGGTATTTCAGGGCTGGGCCAGCAGAAACGTTAACACTGGATAAGACTGGCTTCCACCTACTCATAAAGTGCAGCAAGCAAGCACTCCAAGAAGCCCAGATGGGCTCCTAGGTTAAGACAGCCTTGAAGAACAGATCCAGGCAAGTGGTGACAAAGGAGACATTTCCCACCCCGTCCAGGCCACCCCAGCATCTTAGCATTCATGCGTCAGGCCTGTGACTCTCCTTCCCTGTTCGTACACTGTCCGGTTGCCTTCCTCCAGGAATCTACCTCTCACTAACAGGCCTGAGTACCCGTGGATGATAGAGTGGCACAAATGTGGGCTTGAGAACCAGGCACACCTGGATTTACATTTCAGCTCTGTCACTTTGGAGCTGTGTGTGCTTGGCCAGTCACTTACTATCTCTAATCCTCAACAGTAAAAGTAGGGATAATGCTGCCCATCTTGCAGGGGAATTGAGAAGATCACAGTATGTGTAGGACTATAACTTAGTGTCTGAAACACAGTAGTTACGCAATAAATATTAATTTCTTTGTTATTTCTCTTTCAGCATTTATCACATTCCATTTTGCATTATAATAATGATGATCCCTTACACTTGCACAGAATTTTGGTTTGCAGAGGGCTTTCATAAATACGGTCTCATTTAATATTCTTAACAAGTCTGAGAGATAGGCAGGGAAGATATGATTATTCCTAGAGAGGGAAAGGAAACAGAAGCTCAGAGAGATTAAATGACCTAACCTGTCTGAGCTTGCTTTCTTCTCTGTAAAACAGAGACCCAGCTAGAAAATGATGAGACCTAGGCTTGAATTTCTTTGACTCTCAAGTCTTTCTACTATATTATGTTATCATCTCATTGTAGAAATTGGTATACTTATCATAGCTTCTTGAGGACAATGGCTATTCCTAATTCACCTTTTTATCTTCCCAATATTTAGTAATGTTGGAAGGAAGGAAGGAAGGAAGGAAAGAAAAATTTATGAGTTAACAAATAGAGTGAATGATAATGGTTTAATGTGTTACTAGCCCCCCTCCCTTCAATATATAGAGTTGTATATACAATATTTATTGTATTAATATTTATTCTTTAACCCCAATGCAAAGCACATTTAAGCCAGTTTTCTATCTCTGGCCCTTGGTTTTCTCACTTATTTACATCAGGGATAAAATGTAATAGTGTGTGATATTTGCAGCATTCCAGTCCTCTCACTGTAGAGAGGGTTTTTTCTTTTCCTCTCCCCTGCCCTGTCTGGTTACAGAGAGTAGGCCTGGAGAGGAGTGGTCAAAGAAGGAAGGAGAATTCATGCTTGCTGGCCTTCCTTTGTTGGGGAGAATCTGAGTAATGGGAGAAATAGAAATAAACTAAAAAGAAGCAAGAGAGACTAAGTTTGTTTACATAATAAAAAGCTACCAAAGACAGAGCGGGGAGCAGGGAAGGAGGAGACTGCAAAGCTATGTGTGCGGGGATGGAAGAGAGAGTTTAGGAAGTTAGAGAGTAAGAAAGTTCACAGCAGAGCTGCAGGGAAGAAGGAAAGGTAGATTTTGAAAACGCGGTTGTGGGGTTTGAATTAGATCCCATGTAACAGTCTTTGAAGTAAATTCTTTTTTAATTTTAAGTGAAGCCTGGAGTGTACTCCTTTAAATACAGCTGCGGTTATAGACTAGGCTCCATGAAGCCCTGATATATATTAGCGCTGCATACAAAGTGGTTCCTGTCCAACGCACTTTACAAGGTTACTGTGAAAGCAAAGGAGAATATGTGCAAAAGTGCGCTGCACACTAGTAAATGAGAACTGTGACCCTGCCCCTCCGCATGCTCTCCTGCACATGTACATGCACACCTCACACCCTCATACCTGCCAAATCTGTGACAAGGAAGCTGCCATTTGTCCACAGATACAGCCAGTGCTGGAAGGTCTGGCATTTCTGCACGGCCTCAGAGCTGCTAGATGCTGCTGGAGCCGCAGCAAAGCCCCATTCCCGGGAACAGTAAGACTCCATGGGCTTGCCCAGGTCCTCCTCCAGGGTAGCATATGGGATATTGTTTGCAGGCCGGTAGATCAGATACAGTGGGATGATCCTAAACATAGTGTCACCCTGCAGTGAGCAGGAAGTACGGCCCCAGAGAGCTCCTCCCTCCACCTCAATTCTACACTCTTGGATCCAAAAGGAAGGCCCTTCCAAGAACAGAACTCTCAGCTCTGAGCCTGAAGGACAGCAAGGAAGGGGGGTTCCACCCTGAGTTCAGGAAAGGAAATGGTGGCCTCCTCCATTCTCTGAGGTCAGTGGGATTAGAACTGAACCCTGCTATAGCCCCAGGAGGCCTCTGTGCTTGAGTGAGGGACTAAGGCCTGTGAGTGCCAAACAGAAAGGAATACCTCTGAGAGGATTCAACCAGACTGAGCTCAATGCCAGCTAGACCCTCATACTCAAGAGCTGAGGTTCCAAGTCTCAAAATGAAAACAGTTTCCATGTGTAGCTGACTCCTACAAAAACCCACACTGACCCTGCCCACCTACCACATTAGAATCCTGACCAGTTTGCCTGGAAGCTTTAGCCCACCCCATCACCTTCAGAGAGGCCCAGAACCTGCTGTGCCCAAACCCTGCAATCAGCAAAAACTGGGCAAAGGAGTGGGGAATTAGGGTGGGTGGGAGGAGACTGAAGACCAGAGCAGAAGCTTTTCTAAAGTGGGCAGTGAATCTTGAGGTCTTTATTTCTAGATTTTGTGGAACCACTGAGCTGACCATGGGGTTAGCTGGGGGCCCATTTACACGTGACCATGACTCAGGAGGCCCCCAGGAGTCTGTGAAATCATGGTTCTCTGCAGAAGCTCAAGTCAACAGGTCTGCACACTGCACGGCCCCCTCCCTGTGCACTTACTCAGGCACGTCCCCGAAGCCAGGTGCAGCCCGGGCTTCAGCCGCAAAGATTTTGCAGTACTCTCGACTCATGTTCTGGATCTTGCACCCCTGTGGATTGAAGAGAAGCAACTCTGATCAGCAAGGAAGCATCCCAGTTCTCTATCTGCCTGGCTCTTAGTGGGAAGGCCATCTGCTAGAGGCTGCAGGGAGGATTCCAGCCCTGGGGGAGGTGGGGTTCATTCCTACCCTCCTCCCTACTCTGCACCTCATTTTTCTCATTTGTAAAACAAGAGGCTTTGGACTTGTTTTCAAAGTGGTTTCCAAAGTGTGCTTCCTGGAGCCCTAGTGATAGATGGCAATGCCCCAGGGGCCCCACTGCAGGAGAGCAAGGTACCAACCCCGCCCACAGTCACTCCCCTTTTAAGTCCCAAATAAGGCTTCTGTGAAAGATATCTTTGAGGGCAGTGAAGAAAGTTTTCTGCTGAAAAATACCGTTTGAAAACTATGGCCCCAAAGATGTAGCCTGGACTACATCTCAGGCTCTCGTCCAGGTAAAGCTGAGACTAAGGTGGCTTCCTCCTCCATACTGGGCTTCCCAGTAGGACCCAGGCTGGGAAGGGGAGGGATGAGAGAGTGGAAGGATGGGGCAAGGGGATGGGACAGTACCTGGATGGTGACGTCATAGTTTCTGCCCAGGAGAGAAGTCTCACTGCTGGGCCCAAACACAAGCAGGCTGGACACCTTGATGATGCACGTGAGGCCTGACTCGAAGATGGGTTCCAGCCCGTAGATGACCTTGGCCTGGGAGGCCTTCCGAAGGCCACACCTGTGTCCACCACCTTGTAGCTCCTCGCTCACCAGGCGCCCAAAGAGCTTGTCCCCCCAGCAGCCAGTGTCAGCCAGACCCTTAGCAAACACCATGGGGGTCATCTCAATCTCTTCTCCAACTGAAGGGGAACAGGAGAAATGTGGAAAACTTGAAGCTCCCCCCCGACTGCTGTGGGACCCGTAGCACCCCACCACTCTGTCCATGACTTCTCTTTGGGTGTGCACTTGTGGGAGGCGCCCTATGAACTATGACCTCCTGGGGGCAGACACTGTATCTGGTAAAACCGCCGTCATTCAACAGTGCTCACGTGTGCAGAGTAAGGGCTCAGCCAGTGTCTGTGGAAAGCAGGGGTTTTCTGAGGAAGCAGCAATCAATACAGAATATCAGAATTACTTTGTTTTAGAATTCAGTGTTTTGATCAAATGAATAAATGACTCCATGTCAACCGACATGTTTGACTGAAACAAAAAGTTTGTGAGACAAATCCAGTAGCAGTGAGCACTCCTAGTGCTCAAATTGGGATCACTAAATACCATTTTCCACTAAAAGGAACCAGAACTCCCTAAAGAAATGGTTGATTCCAGGTCTAGGGCAGGAAGTGTCCTAGACTGACCTGAAACATCTCTGGACCAGAAAGCAGGTAAGGTATCATAAACAATTGGCAACTTGTCAAAAGGACACAAGAGCCAACCTGAAGAGGCTTCTACTGGCAAAAAATGAGACAATCTTACCAACAACAACAGCAAAATAATTGCAAAGTATTGAACATTCAAATGTGTTAAAAATCCATACTTTCATAATTATAAGTAAAAAAAACCCTTCCCTCTGGAAAAAAAACCCCTCATTCATGACCTTTGGAGGATGTTAGGGCACCAACTCATTATTCTGAAATCTAGTAAGAGCAAGGAGGAAAAGAAAGTATTTTTTCCTTCATTTTCTGTTGGACCTATATGTATCAGGATTACCAAATAACCATTTCTTCTTTTCCAAAAAATTTCAGCTAATGAATAAAGAAGAAATGACAGAATTAAAATACTCCACGTTGCAAACCTTAATGAAATAAGGGACTTAGGTGATAATCAGTGACTGCTAAAACCCCTAGATGATGACAGGGGTTATATCAGATACAGTTTTTTAAAGTTTAAAAGGGATAGATCAGGCAGAAAACACCTGAATGAACCCAGTGATCATTCTTAACATTACTAAAACAATCAGACATCACATGCCTCCAGATAGGATGCAAAGGAAATACACAGCACACCTGTGAAATGTTCACACACAAACACACACACACACACACACACACGCACACGCACACGCAAAATTTGCACCTGAATTGGAGGAAGCATCTGAAGCTAATTACCAGTTTAGAGGAAGCACATCAGTGAAGCAACATGTTAAATGGTGATATAATCAATAAAATCCAAAATGTAAGAAATTCTTCGACAAATAAATGGCAAGGAGGGAAAACAAATGAGGGAGGAGGAACTATTATACATTTGATAGATTTAAGAGGTTATGTTAGCCAAAAGCACTGAGTGGTTCCTAATTAAAATAAACCAACACTTATGAGAAAGTTGGGAAAATGTGACTGGATATTTGATGACAATTAAGTATTATTACTAAGTTTTTAGGCTTTTTTAGTTTTTAGGTGAGGTTATATTTGATATTGATTAAATCTGATTTGATAACTGAACAAAAGGCACTAGTTGAATGAATGAGTAAATAAGTGAACGAAGGAAAGAATTAAGGTATTAGTTGGCAAATGAAGCTCTAGAAACCTTTCCATCACCAGCCGCCTTCACGGTCTTAATCCTCAGTGTGTCTTTTGCAGGAGCAATACATCTCTTCCCCTAATATTTGAGCCTTTAAAATGCTTATCAAACTTTGGGGTGCACCACAATCACCAGGGCATCTACTGACATGCAGTTGTGTTAGGTCCTACCCCAGAGATTGTGATTAAGAGCACCTGCAGTAGGGCTCAACCAACTGCATTTTCAGCAAGCTCCCTGTGTGAATCTAAGGCAGGAGTCCACAGACCACTGCGAGAAACTCCGGGGAGGGAGCCGGCAGGGGGACAAATGGGCAGTCCTGCTCTTGATCAAGGGCTCTGACATGGGCAAAGGGCACAGGCTGAATGAACTCCTTGTAGGACGTCCCCTTAGCCACCTCCTCCCCCCTCATCTTCTGAAACAGCTGTCCTCCCCCATCCTCCTCCACAAACCATATCCTAAACTAGGAGGCAAAGGGTGGCTGTATGTGGAGGTAAACATGGCATTTAGAACAGATTCCAAGTCTTTAAAGAAGCCCCTGTAGATAGCAGGGTAGGGACACAGGCCCACCCATTCCTCCCCCTGAGGGGCACCTACCTTGACTTTCTTCTCTGGAGATGAATCCTGACAGCACTGTGTGGAGAAAGAGAAGAGAAAGCCGCTATCCTCAGGCAGGTCTGCCCAGAGACAGCTCCACCTCTGCAAAGACGACTGTTCCCCGCCCCACCCCCAGTGGGGGCCAGGCAGAGACCCCGGGGAGGGGGGGGGCAGAGCTCACACTCACCCTCGGGGCTGAGGCAGAAGTCAGTGGAGGCCGAGCCGTGCTCGTTGCGGATGGTGCATCGATACACGCCACAGTCTACGGGGGACGCCTGCACGATGGCCAGGGCCGCTGGCCCCTCATCCCCTGCACTGCAGAGAGGAGACCCTCTCCGTGAGGCCATCACCATGGCACAGCCCAGGGCCACCCTGTGGTCCTGAGGCTTCGCAGATCCCGCTCTCAGAGAATGCTGTGAGCCCTGTCTCTGAGAGCTCTGGGAAGAGCTGGGCCTGCATCACACAGGTCAGGACTGCACTAGCTGTGTGACTTTGGGCAAGTGACTTAATACCTCTGAGCCTCAATGTCCTCCCCTTCACTATGGGAATACTAGAATCTCCCTCATAGGGTTCTTGTGAGGATTAAATGAGGAGGTAGATCCAAAGTGCTGGGACAATCTCCCCCACAGTATTGTTGCTATAATTTATTAGGGAGCCAGGTCAGGTGGAGGTGGTACCCAGCTGGCTTACCTCCTGCCCACCTCGCCCACTGGGCGCTGATCCTTGGCCCATGTCAAGACTGAGTCACTAAGAATGTTGAAAAACTGGCACCAGAGCTTCAGGCTGCCCGAGGCATCAGGAAACTGCTCCACCCGAATCTTCCGGATCACCTGTGGGGCTGGAAGCAGGGGCACAGTTGAGAGGAACAAGCCACTTCCCCTCCATCGTGTGCCCTCTCTGGCCCTACCCCTGCTTCCCTGGGTGTCCTTGGTGGCACAGGCTGAGAGAAAACAGGATTCAAGCCTCCACACAGCCCCCATTTGAGTCCCACCTGTATCTCTGAGGCTTTTGCCCTGACTTCAAAGCACACATCTTAGCTAGAAAGAACATAGTATGGCACCTCCGCTCCAGGCCAGGGAGAGCCTCACAGCTGAGGCCGCAGACAGCAGTCAAGAGAGGAACTTCAGTTTGCAGCCTAGGCTCCTAAACCTAAGACCCTGCGTTCGAATCCTGTCCATACCACTCTGTACTCGCGGGACAGGTCTGCAAAAAGGCGGTTACGGTGGTGATGATGATGGTAGAGCTAGGATACTATTGAAGCCAGGCCCTGTGCTGAATACTTGATTTATTCTATCCCACGTAACCCTCACAATGTTACAAAGTTGGTACTATTTCCAACTCCAAGCAGCCTTTCCGATTCCAAAGCCTGCGGGATTATTACGTAAGAATACCCTTTACAGAGGTACGCTAAACCTCTAGCAGGCAGGGTTACCCCAGCAGGGCCCTGCTCCGGGCAGCCCGCTCCTGGGAAGCCGTACCTGTTGCTCACCTTTTAGCAGGTCTTTGGCTCTCCTTGGCTTGGCTGGAGTGCCCTGCTTGCCTTCCTCCAGGGCCAGCTCTGCTTCCAGGTTGCTGGCTCTGGGGCTGGAGCCCAGGGCCCCTGCTGCCGGCTCCTCCTCTGCCCGCGGCACCTCCAGCAGGTCTGCCTTTCTGCCCTGAGTAGGGGAACGTTTCTCCCGCCCTGGACTCCCCAGGGGCCCCGGTGCAAGGCCCTTCCGGGGCCCCCGGGGGGAACCCGAGGGGCTCTCCCTTTCTTCGGGCTTGGTTGGCTCCCCATCTCCTGCTGCTCTGACCTTAGGGAGAAACCTCTTCCTCCGGGCCCCCAGAGCCAGTTCCTCGGGCGTAGCTGCGGGGAGATCTGTCAGAGCTTCCCCTGGGATCTCCTCCTCTCGGAAGGGTTCCTGGGCTCTGCTCTCTGCTGACAGCAGTCCCTGCCCAGGGGCTGCCTGTCCACCCACGCCCCCCAGCGGCCCACCCATGCCGCTCTCCTGGGAGGTCGGCAGGAGGCCAGGCCCCTCAAGGGAAACCTCTCCCTCACCTTCACTGGATCCTCCTGAGGCCACCCCGGGGCCTTCCTCCTCACCTACCACGATGGCAGGGACAGAGAGGGGGCTGGGGCCAGGGCACCGGGCAGCAGCCAGGGCCTGACAGCCAACCTGCACCTCGCGGTCCAGGAGGCCAGTGAGGCGGCGGGAGGTACAGGGGCTCAGCAGCAGAGTCTGCGCGCTCTGCACCAGACGGTTGTTCTCCACACGCTCCAGGATGCGCCGTGACGTCCGGGGACTCAGACCGGCCACTTCCACGGTGGGGGCCAGAGAGGGTGAGGGTGCCTGATCCCCAGCAGCAGCTTCCTCCTGGGCCCCTGGGCCCCTGCCACTCGTCTCTGAGCTGGATAGCTTCAGCAGCAGGAGCAAGTAGCTCTTCAGGGAGTCTATGAGGCCAGGGTCACAAGTCTGGGGGCCTGAAGTCCTCCCTTCCATACCGGACACCTTGGCGCAGGCCCCCTCAGCGTCTGCTGCCCTGGTTCCTGGCGGGTGACTCTGGCTGGGGGTGCCCAGCCCCAGGTGCAGTGGGGGGGCAGAACTCAGCGAGGCCTTGTCCCCAGAGGGTAGGAAGGCAGCTGTGCTCATGTGCTGAGAAGCCGGGGTGCTGGGCAGCCGCTGCTGTGAGTTGTCCGTCAGGCCAGCCCCAGGAAGAGAGGGCAGAGTGGGCACCTGGGGGCTCAGGCCCGCTGAAGGACAGCCACCCAGATCCACAGGCAGCAATTCTCCCTGCTGTTCCTGCTTGGGGCCCTGGGACAGGCCCTCCTCGGCCTTGTCCTTAACTGGACCCGACTGCTCCGGCCCTCGATATCTCTCTCCTCCCACCTGCTCCAAACTGCCCTCAGGAGGCAGCTGTGCCCCGCGTGTGAGGCCCCCCGCCAGGGCACCTGGCACAGTTTCCTCACGGCTCCCGGAGGCCGTTCCTGCTGCCTCGTCAGGTCTGAGCATAAACTCAGGTTTGTCTGGGACGGAGAACTCTTCTGGGGTCTGTTCAAAGCATTCAATAATCTGAGGGGACCTAGGATCCTCTGAAGGTGGGCGTTTGGGGGCCCTGGACTGTGGGCTGATACCGGTCATGGACGCCTTCTCTGACCAACATTTCACAGCTGTGGGAATGCTCCCCTCTGACCATGTCCCCTTGTCTTCCTGCACCCTTCTGTCTGCCTGTGTCCTCTCATCTGCCTGGGTCCCCACCTTTCCTTGTGCCATCACGTCCTCCTGGGAATTCCTGCCTGACTCTGACCTCTCACTTTCTTGTGTCACAACATCCACCTGTGTCTTCCTATCTGCCTGTGTCCTCTGGGTGGTTTGTGTTCCATCTCCCTGCGTCCTCCCATCCACCTGCATCTTCCTATCCATCTCTGTATTCTTCTTGCCTCCAGTGTTCTGATCAGCAGATGCTCTCCTGTCCTCCTGGGTTTCTGTGTCCATGGGCTCAATGATGTCCTGACTTCTGGAGGTGCTGCAACCAGCAGAGACCGTATCAGAGCTGCTGCTGGCCAATGTGGTAGGAGCCATGGTTGCCTGGGACTCCTGGACCTGAGAACACATGGACAGAAGCAAGAACTTAACTGCACATGCCTTAGGATCTCTTTCCAATCCAACATCCCAGCCTCCTCTGACCTCATCCAGAACTGCCATGATGAGAATCCTGCCACCCGGTTTCTCAGGCCTGCTGGGGGTGACAGAGTCCCAAGCCCACCCACCCAATCCCTGATCCCAGAGTCTACACCAGGGAATATTCAGAATCCAGGTCTAGCTCTGGCCCTCCCCAACTCTCCCCGAAGAAATTTTGCCTCTCCTGACAGCCCCTGATCACGTGCTACCCCACCCCTCAACCCTGCCATTCGGAGGAGAGTGTCCTCTCCCCAGGGCCTCCGAGCAGTCAATCTGTCCCTCTCTTGTGGCACTAACTGTCCTGGATAGAATTATGAGTGAAGTGGGAGAGTGCCAGGGGGTCTCCTTGATAGCATCAGGGACAGCATCATCATTAATGCTGAGTGAGTGGCAATTACAAAATGCCATCCAGAGAGGGTTAAAGTCATTACGAATGACACCTATGCCAGGAGATCCGTGAAACATTATAACGTTACCCTTCTGAACACCCGCTATTTGCAAAACACCATGCTAGGCCCCTATTTATCACATATGTATTACCTCGCTCCTCACAACAATACCAAATAGTTGCAAGAATCATCTCTATTTTAGAGATAAGAACACTGATGGTCAAAGAAGGAATATGGTTTGTCCATTATCAGATAGTAAGCGGTAGAGTTTAGTTTAGAAGCCAGGTGTGTCTAGCTTCAAATCTCATGCTCTTTGTTGTTACACTATATGGTCACACATTTAAATATAATTAAAGGACCTTCTATCTAAACATCCTGGCATAAAACAGTAAGTTGCCTCTTTTCATGTTGGATATAATCAAAACCAACTAAGTAAACAAGAAAAATCAAAGCAAATTCCATTGTTAGTGGAAATGGAGGCTAATAAAACCTACAGTCTCAAAAAAAAAAAAAAAAATGGGAAGGATTGCCAAAAGCAGATAGGTGAAACTCTGGGAGGTTGCAAGAGCTGTAGGATCATGGAGGACTGGGTGGAAACAAGCAGAAGACATACAAGGGAAACGTCCAACAGTCAGGAAAAGAACAGTGGAGCAGCCTACCGGAGGCAGTTCTCAAAAAACATGAGCAAAAATACATGAAAATTGCTAAGAAAATAGATTTTGAACATACGAGAACTTAAGGAATAGTGTTCCGTGGCCCTGGAGGAAACTACTGGAGAACAAACTTTGGTCAACCAAAAGATGACTGGGGAAACCACAGCAGAAGAATTGATGGTGAACGCTGAACATATATTTAACCATAGAACCAAGACTAAAACCAAAAAAGTTTAGAGTGGCAGATCAGAATGTCAGTGTTTATGCCCTGACAATGCAGAAATGATACAACTACCACAGAAGGGGAAGGGGGAAGAAGATGACAGGTGGAGTTAAATGTCTTAATTGTATCACTTATACAAGCCAGGAATCAAAGGCATGACTCAAAGCTGAAAACCCAGGTAACAGAAATACAGCATATTCAATTATACAAAGACAGTCACTTAGAAATAAAACTTTGGGATAATAGGAGATAGAAAATGAAAGGGAAAAAAGGTAGGGAGGAAGTGGAAGCACGATCACTGCTCATCATAAAAAAGTAAAACACACTGACTAAACAGATAAAATTATGGATGATATTACATAAAATTTAAGTTATAAATTACTACGTACAAATATTTCTAAGTATCAGAAGAACCACACACAAAACCAAAGCAAACGGAACGTATGAGACCTTAATATGTATTTAATTAAATTATATTTAAATTAAGTATAGAATTTAAAGTTACTTTACTGCGTATGGAATTCTGAATGAATGGTATGAATACGAAAAATATAGAAGAGTCTGGTGAATAACAGGAGCCATCAAATATAAGTCTCACTGACCGAAGAATGTTAGTAAAAACGCTCCTCCAACTTCTCTGAGAACCAGTAAGACACGAACAAAAACACCTTGGAGCTGGGCTTCCCTGGTGGTGCAGTGGTTAAGAATCCACCTGCCAATGCACGGGACATGGGTTCAAGCCCTGGTCCAGGAAGACCCCACATGCCACGGAGCAACTAAGCCCATGCACCACAACTACTGAGCCTGCGCTCTAGAACCTGCGAGCCACAACTACTGAGCCCGTGTGCCACAACTACTGAAGCCCGTGTGCCTAGAGCCCCTGCTCTGCAACAAGAGAAGTCACCGCAATGAGAAGCCCGTGCTCACCGCAATTAGAGAAAAGCCCGCGCACAACAACAAAAACCCAATGCAGCCAAAAATAAAATTTAAAAAATAATTAAAAAAAAATAAAAAACCTTGGAGCCAACAAACAGCACTTAGGAATGTATTAGAACCTTTTTTTAACTTCTGATATTCTAGGATTAAGAAATATATTTTTAATATTTATTTATTTATTTGGCTGCACTGGGTCTTAGTTGCGGCATGCGGGATCTAGTTCCCTGACCAGGGATTGAACCTGGGCCCCCTGCATTGGGAGCGCAGAATCTTAACCACTGTACCACCAAGGAAGTCCCAGGATTAGAAAATATTAATATGGACATGAGATCTATACATTTACAAAGAAAATGCTGACTTTACATACAAGGCTCACGTGAACAGAACTTTTGATTAAAGCTGTCTTCACTCCCCCTCACCCGCAGACTGATCAGTCCCTGAGCCCTACTGAACCTGCTTCTTCAGTATCTCAATATCCATTCCCTCCTCTCTGTCTCCACTGCCAACACCCTAATCTAAGCTGCCAACAATTCTATCTTGCCTGGACTATAGTAAAGCCTCCTAATTGGTATCCGTGACTCTAGTCTTTGCCTCTGCCAAATATGCAGCCCAAGTGATATTTCTAAAATATAAATCTGGGCACTTCTCTGGTGGTGCAGTGGTTAAGAATCCGCCTGCCAATGCAGGGGACATGGGTTCGAGCCCTGGTCCGGGAAGATCCCACATGCCACGGAGCAACTAAGCCCGTGCACCACAACTACTGAGCCTGCGTGCCACAACTACTGAAGCCTGCGTGCCTAGAGCCCCAGCTCCACAAGAGAAGCCACCGCAATGAGAAGCCCATGCACCACAACAAAGAGTAATGCCCGCTCGCTGCAACTAGAGAAAGTCTGCATGCAGCAACAAAGACCCAACGCAGCCAAAAATAAATAAATTAAAAATAATAATACAAAAATAAAAAATAAATCTGATTGTGACACTCCCCTCCTTAAAAGCCTCTCAGTAGCTTATCATCACTTACAGGCTAAAGCCTAAAAGCCCTAGCCTAAAAGAGCAAAAAGTTTAAGAATACTCCCTGCCCGGCAGGGTATGGGGAAACAGGCATCAGCACAGCCTCTATGGATAGTAATTTGGCATTATCTAGTAAAACTAAAAATACTTATACTCTTTGACCCAACAGTTCCACTCCTAGGAATTTACCCTATAGATATACTTTCATGTGCAAATTGACATATATACAAGGATACTCGTTGCATCATGGTTTATAATAGCAAAAGACTAGAAAATGTCTAAATTACATCAATACAGGATTGATCCAATGAATTATGGTACATCCACACCTCAAATAAATAAAATAAATACCCAAATAAAAAAGCAAGGTATAGGACAGAAAGTATCATATGCCACCTTTATGTGGAAAATACAGAGACACATATTTGTAAATGTACAGAAGATAGCTCTGGAAGGATGCCCAAGATACCAGTTATGGCAACTTATTTCAGGAAGAGGGATGGGGTGGTGGCGGTAGGGAAAGGGTGAAGATCTAATATTCTCTAAATACTTTTTATACTTTTTGGATTTTATACCATGTGCCTATGACACATATTTAACAAAATCCAATTAAGAATGAAAATGCATAAGTAAATAGGCCCTTGTGTGATCAGTGAGGGCTGTCCTTCAGCAGAGAACCCAGGTCTGTCTCTCCAGCCTCATCTCTTGGGTCCCTCCATCCAACAACACTAGCGTACCATGCTGATTACTGTGCTATTTTATAACCACTTCGTTTTTCTCTGCTGGACATTCTCAGCCTTCTCATTGCTCACCTGAAGAACTCCTCCTTCTTTTCCCTGAAGACCTCATTCAAGTTTCTTCTCGTTTTAGAAGACTTCTGAGTTCCCTTCTCCACCCCCCAAAACGTACGTGGCTTCTTATCCTATGTACCCATGGCAAATGTACCTAATTCTATTATTATACCCTCATTCTCTGTGGCAGTTATGCACGTGTCACCTGCTAATCTGTGAACTCTTCCCTTTCAAAGAGGGCTCAGCACAGGCCCAGGGTTAGACTTGGTGTGCAATAACTATAAAGACTGACCTCTCTAAACACTATGTGGGATGGGGGTGTGTGTCTGCATCTGGAACTGTATGGAGAAGTGAGGAGGAATGTCATGTATTTCTTAAAAATAAAAAACTGTGTGAGCTGGGGTGAACCTATCTGGTTCTCTGTGGGCTTTTTCATTACAAAGAACATTAGCAGTTTTAATTTTCCATCCTGTCTTTCTGTCTTCTCTGTAAAATTTTTGAGATTAAGGAACCAGTCTGAATCACCTTTGCATCCTTCACAGACCGAGGCACATAGGAGGTTCACAGGAATGACCCACTGAATGGCAAGTACTATGGCTTGTAACCCTCTAAGAGGAGAGAGTGCTGGTTTGGAGAAGCAGGATACAAAGCCAGGGGCTTAACAGGGATGGAGCAGGGCATTGTCAAGGACCTGGAATCTACTTCCTTGATGAAACCCAGACCCAGGGCTCATACTGAGGCTTCATCATCTTTAAATGTTTGGTATAATTTTCCAGTGAAACCATGTGGCCCTAAAGATTTTGGGGAGGAGATTTAAAATTACAAATTCAATTTCCTTAACAGTCATAGTGTTATTCAAATTATCTTGTTTAATTTTTACATGAGTTTTTTTTTTTTTTAAGAATTGTTCTATTTCATC